ATATTTGTTTTCTGATGGTCTTAGGCGAACTCTGTGTAAGGGTTGTTCGACCCCCGCGCCCCCCCCCCCTTAGTTGAGAACCGCTGGCATAGACCGTGTATTTTTTTTTAAATTTCATTTCGTTTTCTCAACTCACCGCACTACCGGTTGGCGCTAGTCGTTAGTAGCATAAGTAGATTGTGGTTTTGTTTAGGATGGACAAAATAATCTCACCGACATTCAATTAAGTAATTTCTCCATTATTTGTTTTAAAAAAAATTTCTTGTTGCAACGGTAACCATTAGTGTATTCATAGGAGCACAGCATACAAATTTTAAAAATTATGAATGAATATCCCAGATTTCAGACTTAGAAAATCAGCAACTAAACGATGATGCCACTTTTCGGTAATAGGTGGCGTGTCGTCAGCTTTCGAAGCCCGACCAGTGAACCGGCTTAAGATGGGCCGTTGTCTACCTTGCGACTTCGTCCTGCAAAGTCAACATCATAGTCTCATTGAGACGGGCGGATACCAAATAAAATACATTGCTAAATTCATTTAAATTGTTAATGATTTTCTAGCTAAATACATTTTAGTATATTTGCCGAATTGAGTGACGTTTTCTGCTTAAAAGGAGATTCATTTTTAAAAAGTATCATAATTATTGTGTTTTTGGCCTATAAGATTTCTTCCATTAGCATTATTATTTTATAGACGTGAAAAACAAAGCATGTAGATAGAGCCAATACAGAGGCGTGTTGGAAGTTCTTACCCAGAAAATTGCAATCAGTTGGAAACATTTTATCCCTTCTTTTTTAAATTAGGGGAAATTTTTTCAAACGATATCCAACGCTTGTTTTTTGGGGGGTTTTTTCTGACTCTCTTACTCTTAGTTGTACTTTTCATTCTTAAAAATGTATTCTTTAAGTGGTATGTCCAGGTTCGTGCCAAGGAAAAGTGGCGCCATGGGCGAAGCCAGAAAATGTCGCCCCTCGATATATTTAACACATAATTTGTTTTTTTCTTTGCTTCTGTGGATAAGTAAAAATGATATTTTGACACCACGTGTCTGTGTGAATTACATGGGATTTTACCATTTAGTTCATTATTAAAGTCCTATCTAATGACAATTTCTGCAACCGAGGGGAGTCCCCACATGAATGTATGTCACACATTAATTTGAATTTTCAACAAAAAAAATATGTCAGTATGTCGTATCCACATTAGAAATATATTTGATTACTGTCAATTAGACTTGTCCCTTCAAATATATTTGATCTCTGCAAATTAGAATAATCTCTTCAAATATATTTGTGCTGAAAATATTCAGTATGTCGTATCCACATTAGAAATATATTTGATTACTGTCAATTAGACTTGTCCCTTCAAATATATTTGATCTCTGCAAATTAGAATATTCTCTTCAAATATATTTGTGCTGAAAAAGACAATAGTTCGAAATTTCAATTGCCTTGTTGTTGTTGTTTTGTTTTTTGTTGTTTTTTTTTTGTTGTCCTAATTAAAACTTAAATGAATGATTTGACCTTCATGGCTTTGCTCTAACGTAAGCTACACCTCACTTCTATATTCTTCTCCTAGTTTTTGTGCAAATTTAAACTTAACTTTGTTTGTGATACTTGTTTGTAATTGTTGGGGGGGGGGGGTTAATTGTGATAATTGTGTACTTGAAGATGATGCAAGATTTTGAGAGAGATGTAATTAATTTATGTATTGTGCAATAATTAAATTGAATCTATCATGCCCATGACTCGTCATATTTTTGGACACTTTGCAGATATTGTATTTTTTTTTTTTCTTGTTTTTTTTGATATTTTAATTTAATTTTGTTTGTGTTTTTTGTTTGTTATTGTTTGGGGGGGGGGGTTAATTGTGATAATTGTGTACTTGAAGATGATGCAAGATTTTGAGAGAGATGTAATTAATTTATGTATTGTGCAATAATTAAATTGCATCTATCATGCCCATGACTCGTCATATTTTTGGACACTTTGCAGATATTGTATACTCAGTGATTTTCTTTAAGTTACCTTACATTTTAAAGGGGATAAATTGTTTTTTGCTACTTTTACATAATGCTTATTTCTTATAAAGATTTTTTATAATCAGATAAAAATATTAAACATGTTCTGTTAAACATTTCTGCTTGGACTGTTACTTTTAATTTCCATCCTTTTGTAATTCACGTTGCTGGTCAAAAGAAAATTACAAATTATGTATTAGAGCGTTAAATAGAAAACATTACCTTTACCTTAAAAGAAAACACATTGTTCACCTATGCCTTCTACAAACCAGCTGACAGACATAGTTTCTTATTGGTTATTATTGTCGTCTTCCCACGCCAGATCATGCAAAGACTCCATACCCTATACCCAACGTCTTGGGCTACGTCACCTCTGACAGTCATAGAGGAAGACTTTTTAGACAGGGCAAATGAAATGATGGACATCTTCTGCGCCAGATCTTATCTTGAGGCTAACCTTATAAGGGCACTCAATCATATTAGCATGATGACACGTAATGAGGCTTTTAAATCCGGCTGAAACAAAGATGACGGTCTAACAAAACTAATCCTAACCTACCACTCTCACATGAGAGTGAAAAAAATGTACTCTAGAAGAATCGTCAAATACTCTTTGCTGACCTTGACACTTACAGGGTTATTGTCTTCAGATGGAATGAAAAATCTATGCGACTATGTGCTTCACTGTCACCTTTGACCTGATCCCTCTAACCTTTGGACTAACCATGTAGAAGAAGCCGTTATAGGACGTGCCCCCTATGTACTGGAAACTCAACACATTAGCTTCATTAAGGGGACCTTTACCATCATACAAGGTTTCACATGTATTAGATGAAATGTGATTGGTTGTTGAAGATGCAGCTCCTGCTATATAGGTGAGGTGAGAAGAAAGCTATCTGATAGATTCAGTGAACATCTTGATAATTTTGAACAAAACAAGCCATCCCGGGTCTCATCTCATTTCAACGGAAGTGAACACAGAGCATATAAGATGTATCCATCATGGCTCTAATTTCTTGCACTAATACAAAAGCTAGAGTGAAGCATGAAAACACATTAATTCAGACTTTTGGTCCCATATCCCCATATGGAATCGGTCAAACACTCTCTTACGAGTATTACAATTTTACATTAAAAATATTTAAATCCTTTTACCTTGATAATATGCATCACAGAATAATGTGGGACACATGTTTTGGTTTAGAACTTAACATCTGTTTCAAACAATAACTTAGAGCACTTCCTGTTCTAAACATTGAGCTGCATTGACATTGTCCAGATTTTTGAAAGCCTAAAATTTCTATTTTTAACTTAAAATATCTGTTGTTTCTTGTTTTGTATTGTCTGAAAAAAAGCCAACCGAAACATGTCTGCTGAAAAAGGCATTAACCAAAACGTGTCTGCTCAAAAGGGCATCTAGCCAAAATGTGTTCACTGAAAAACGCATCTAGCCGATATGTGTCTGCTGAAAAAGGCATCTAGCCGATATGTGTCTGCTGTAAAAAGGCATCTAGCCGAAACGTGTGTGCTGAAAAAGGCATCTAGCCAAAATGTGTCTGCTGAAAAAGGCATCTAGCCAAAATGTGTCTGCTGAAAAAGGCATCTAGCTGAAATGTGCATCTAGCTGAAACATGACTGCTGAAAAAGGCATCTAGCTAAAACGTGTCTGCTGAAAAAGGCATCTAGCTGAAACATGACTGCTGAAAAAGGCATCTAGCCAAAACGTGTCTGCTGAAAAAGGCATCTAGCCAAAACGTGTCTGCTGAAAAAGGCATTTAGCCGAAATGTGTCTGCTAAAAAGGGCATCTAGCCAAAATGTGTCTGCCTTAAGATAAAAAAAAATGTTTAATCAACAACGGATCAAAAGAATTGTCAGGAATTTTGATGTGAACACTCCAATTATTCCATTAAATGATTGATTTACTACAATTAGCACCAAGACATCTAAAATATTCAAATCAACAATATTCTGCAATAATTTTATTTAAGATTACAAAGTTAAAGATAAAATTGATCATACAAATATTATTCTTTTGTTCATTTCTTGCGAGTGTTGCAATGACTGCAAAATCAAAACTAGAAAAGATTTCTGCCGCACAAAAAACCCAGAAATTGATTAGGAGCACGATAGGACAGCCTATTCATCATTAAAATAAATAGTGGAACAAGGTATGTGGAAGCTTGAAATATAAAGAACAGACAATAAAAAGAGAAAATTTTGGCTAAGAGCCTTCCTCAGCAGACAGGACAAATGAAGAAACAAGAAACATAAAGAAATTTTAAAAACTAACGTGTTTGGAGTTCGCCATAAATATAATTGCCAGACGTTCGGTTTTCAAAAAACCCAGATTACAGGAATTAGAAGATAGTATGTATCATGACAGTAAAGAAAAAAAAAAAAGATTTTAAAGGCCACATAATATTTTGGAAACATGAAAAATGTAAGAAATGAGAAAAGAAATATAGGGAAATTGAGGATCTCTCTATTTCATGCTTCCAATTACCTTGTTCCTTTTCCTTCACACAGCTTGAATGCAGTCCATTTACTTTTATCTATTATAATTGAAACCAACATCCATATGACATTACAATTCCAAGTGTTGAAAACATTTTTTTTTTTAAATAGATTCCCTACACCTCCAAGCTATTTACCCCAAAGCTGGAGATGGTCAATTATAACCCAGGGTCAGTAGGTCCAGAGGCAGATGGTGCTACCATTGTACTAGATGGCAGACAATGGAGAAACGGATTCATCTTCTTACTTTGGTGGGGTTTTTCCTGGGATGCAGTGAATTCAGAGAGAGAAAAGAATCCACCACTGAAGTTGGTAAACAGCCAACTTGGTGTGGGATTTAAAAATTGCAAAACCAAAAACAGCTGCAATCTATCAGTTAAGTTACAGCTGACTGGATAAACGCAGAAAGTAAAAACAATAACAAAATTGTACTTGAATTTTTTTTTTTTTTTTTTTTTTTTTTTTTAAGATGTAAAAGCTCTCACAAATGTGTTCTATAAAATAACAAAAAATGCAGACAAAGATTACAATTTATGCTGAGTTCGAAAAGAAATAAATTGTAGACTAAAGGGGAACAGAAAAAAATGTGGATTTGATTTATGACGGTGACTTTAAAATTGGTATTAGCATTAGTTGTTCACACATTTTTCATACCTAAGCAAATAAGTTATCAGATCAAATGTCATCTTTTCACCATATAAAATTATTCATAAGTTCTAACACTGTAATCAGTCCTTAGGGAATTTTGTTTTTGGCTCAACAGGATCATATTAGGGAGCTCATTGGTACAAGGTAGAACACTAGCCTTAGTTATGCAGGGGAAGTCTAGCTAGGTCTGTGGATGAGTAGTCGGATGCAATGGACTTGTCAGACCAAAAAAAAAAAGTTAGACATTTTAAGAAAAACTTAGTGCAAATAAAAACCTGAGCCATCAAAGACAGATGGAGCAGTCAACTTTGCTTGGACAAAATTTGTCAGTTTATACTCCCTTCAAACAATTTGTTAAGGCATAACAATCATATTTCCAGAAAAAAACATTAAAATATGACATCAACATTCTGTTATTAAATTTCAAAATGACACCAAGAATTTTGTTATCTAAAGTGCATTACATAAAACTAATAAAACTGAACTGACTATTCTATCGAAACTTGAGGTCACATATCTGGGCTATATGATCAGAGGGAAAAACTATGCTGGGCAGCGCAACATGAGCCCTCACTTCCTCCTCGCTGGGCATGGGTACAACACTGGTCACCTCGAGCTTGTCAGAGTCAATGAATATATAGTCCAGTGTCTCTTGAAAACCTTGTGTGAAGTTGGTGTAGGCAGGTCTCCCACAGGCACTCTCCATGTTGATTGGCTGGTAGAGTTCTAGTGATGTGAAGGCTTCCTCTTTTCCAGCTGAAAAATGAGTTAAAATTCATTAATTTTTCAAATATCACAATTGGTTTTAAATACTTTTTTAAAGTTTAAAACTCTATTTTTTTAAATACCAAATCAAATACACTTTTAAATTTGAAATTTTAAAGACACAATTCAATATCAGCTTTTTTTTTCCTATAAAGTTCAAAATAATTTGGTAAGGATCTGTCAGCTCTTTTACCATTAGTGCAGCAACAAAGGCGTCAGAATTTATTATGTTGGGCAAGAGTCAGCAATTTGTAACAAAAAAAAAAAAAAAGGAGATATAAAAAACACAAAAAAAAATTTAAAAAAAAAGGCGTCAGAATTTATTATGTTGGGCAAGAGTCAGCAATTTGTAACAAAAAAAAAAAAAGGATATATAAAGAACCTCAAAAAATATTTAAAAAACATTTTCCTAGGCGTTTTAAGTTGCTGCGGTGTATATGTAAGTTTTGGACTGGGAATTCGGACACGGTTTCTATTCCACTCCAAATTATCAGCTCTGAATATTCCATATGATGTCAAACAATGATATCTAGCTGTTGCAGTTTGGAATTAACAGAGAAATGCAACACAGTGTTTCTGCTCTAGACATTAATTCATCTTTTCCTAAAGTCTGTGTAGTTTTTTTACAAGCCCTTCTCAACATCTAGTAAAAAAAACTCTTTAATACCCACTCAAACTGGATGCCATTAAAGTTGTGCCTGACATATAAAGGAAGATTACAAAAAGAAACTGTAAATGCAATTAAATATCCTAAATATTTTCTGCTATTTAAATTTAAACAAATTACATAAGACAATGAGCAAAACAAAATATTTTTTTAAAAATCTATAAAACCAGGGGTAGAAACTCTAAAAGGACATCAATAAAGAAAATATGCATTCAAAAATGTGTTTGGTAATGCTAAAAATAAAAGGCACCGTCTATACCAATACACCTAGGGGAAAAACAGAGAGAAATTTCCTAAGAAATTTAAACTAAAAAAAACGAATAATAATAATTTGAAGTTATGAAAGTCGAAATATTGGTTTTAATAATTTAACACCAATGGGTTCTAATATATATTTTTTTAAAATTTGTTTAAACCCTAAAAATGATCTTCCTTTACATACCCGAAATCCAGTCAGCATGGTCAGTGGGAATCATCTGGGCTGTCATCAGCTGGAACACTCCTAGGTGAGGGGCGCTGTTGAAGTCACCACAGAACACCAAAGAAATCTCTTTGCCCTGAAATGGTTACCTTTTTTTTTACTAACAGCCATGCAAAGAACATAATAATTCCTTTATTAGAGAAGATTGGAGCACTTAACAACACATTTTTGCCCCAATCTGTTTTATCCACTTAATTTCTACAACACATCTTTCAATTTTTCTCTCCTTTTGAATAGACTTTTTTTTTGGTAATGAGTAGCATCAAATACAATTATTGTTATTGCAGTTTAGCTTCATCATTTTTTGGGTCCCCCTAATTTTGCGAGAAAAAAAGCAACAACATCCAACAAAAAAAATAATATAAAGGAACTGAATTAAATTGTTAATCCCTTTATATCACTATATTGTGTCATATATTTGAACCTCTCTTGACAGACTATTTGAGAACAACTAGTCAAGTGGATGTACTTAATGTGTTACTTACTGTTGTGCTATGATGATCCAGAATATTGAAGCTACCACAGAATTGTTTTGCTGGGTTTTTTTTTTTTTTATTTTATTCCTTAATACAACTCCATTCAATTCAAAATTGAAGTTCATCGGAATAAAAACAATTTTTATTTTTACATAAAAATTTTTTTTAGTGTTTTGAGATAAAGATAATTAGGTCTTGATTGGGATTTCCAAATTTGACAGTGTCGGGATAAAACTCCAAACCTCCACCTTATCAGCAATCAAACCTTCATCTTATCGGCTATCAACTTTCACCTTAACAGCGATTGACTTTGTTTACTAGCCAATAAAAAATGCTGGGTCAAATTTAGATAGTTTTGGCTTAAGTTATGAACCACATGAATTTGAGAGGTACTTTGGTGGGTGATTTCAATTTGTAATTCCTCGGTACATCTTGATTTCTGTTTAACATTTGAAAATTTCACTGCATATAATTAAGAATTAATACATTGATGATCAATCAAATTTTGAAAACTTCAAAGGTTTCATTAATGGAGACCAAAGTTCAGCTATGTAGCACTCCGTACAACATAGATAGCTGAATGTGATCACTCAATTGATATATATTAAATAAAATGATTCAACTAAATTTTATAAAGAGTGAGGACAAATAAAGAAGAGGAAAATCCCACTTTTTTTTTCTTCATCATTTCTTTACTCACTTCAATCAAGTAAGCCTCTCGAATGCTCTGTAGATACCGCAGTGCAACAGCAGTGTGAATTAACCTAATGTTGCAGGCAGTTGGATGAAAATATAAATGAGTGTTGGCCAAGCATACATACTTCCCAGAAATTTCAGAACTCTCCACAACAGTGACCTACAGATTAAGAGAAAACATAATCTTATAAACCTAAAAGTTTCATAGCAGTTCCAACTATCTTATTATATTTTTGTGTGATGAGCATTACATTTGAAAACATCAATGTATTTCAATGAATTCAGCTTAACATTTTTAATAATATTAATCTTGACAAAAATTACTGTTTTTTCCCGTAGACATATTTCAAATTATAACAATAACTTTCATATTAGTTTGCTTTTAACCTGCTGCAGTGAAAATAAAACATTAGGTATCACAGATGGGTTTGTTGCTGTCTAAATTACCCCAACCTGCATAAGAATTAAGGACATTTCTTTTTTGCCTTGCGAAGTATTATTTGTGTATATTGTATCTTTGGGAGCAATGAATTTTATTTCTTCTCAATTTTCAACCAAAACTGCAACAAACCTGCAACACCGATGACCTTTGTTCAATTTTCTCTTTCAAAGGCTGAACTTTGCAAACTTCCATCCAGATATCTGCACAACTTTGATCAGTTGATAAGTACTCAGAAAGGCTGATATCCATCTCATTTACAACACTGATGATACAGGGTGAAAAGTAAAAATAAACTGCGAAATACATGTCCATGTATGTCAAAAAAATTGTAGTTTTCAAAGATATAATTTTTAATGTAATGTTTTTGGGACCTGATAATTCCATGATATTCTACAGGCTATCAATAACAAACATTAGTTTTTAAGCAGAGGAAAACCTCATTTTAACTATATTATATTGTGTGAACAATATCTGACTAATAACATTAAATTTTAATGGGAGCACATTTTGTTTTCTTTACATGAAAAATATCCCTAAACACATTTTTCTGACCCAGCCATTATTGGAGTGAACAATATAGGCCTATATATCATTTAAATATCAAATAAGATTTTAAAATAATTATGAATCATTAATATTCCTAGAAAGATGTTTACACTTAAACTGAACATTTTGAAGTGCATGATTTCCTGCTTTTGGTTTCTAAAATGTTTCGCACAAAATAATTTAATTAACATTTTCTACAATGAACAGAGGAGCGAAAAATAAAATTGTATATAACACAGTTAATATGTAATCCATTGCCCTTTGCTAATTTAATTGCTTTCTATAGGTTGGTTGTTTGTTAGTTTGTAATTACACTTTTTAATGTGTTTATAAAATTATAAATTTGATAATACTTCTTAATGATGTTGTAATTTCGCATTATTATTTTTAGGATAACTGACACTTTTTATTCAAACTTCGGAAAATAAAAGCATTCATCACAACTTACTGAAATTTATCTTCTCTGACAAAATTAGCACAACCTTCAGAGACTTGACCTGCTTTTGGCCTGAAAAGACAAATATATCCAAGTGATCTGAAGGCAGGAGTCAGTTGATTTGAGAAAATAGATGCGTCAACTTCTTGTAAGCACAGCAGATCAGCCTGGTATCCTAATAAAGAGAGTAAAAAATCAAATAAAGATGATATGTATTTAACTGATTAGCTACCAGATTGAAAATCCGGCTGTGGCTGAATTAAATCTAGGTCACGTTGACTACGATACAAATGTTGGCGCTACCAGTTGCTCGTGGTCATAACAAAAGAAACGACCTGCCGCTCCCAGCGGCTTATGGTAGTTAACCAGTTAATCTAAATTTTAATGTCAATGCTTTCTTCAATAACAAGTGATTAATTAAGATGGAATAATTAAGATGCAAAATTTTTACCAATTATTTCTTTCAGCAAAAGGTGTTTCCTATAATCCATATCTAGAGCATGAGAAGGACAATAGTTGAACAACTCTTGTCTTGCTAAATCAGTGTCTGCATAAATTTGTGCCAGTATATTATAAGTGAGTACCCTAAAGCTGTGAAAAGCAATGGAAAGAAATGACTTTAAAATCTCATTTAGAATTGTAACATCAGACATGAACAAATTAATATGACACATGGTAGACTATTGAACATAGAGACTGTATATATTGCTAACACGTGTGACCAAAAATAAACTATTTGTGGTTACATGATGAACTCTTCTGTCTGTGGGGTGTTCTTTTGAAACTCGATCCTTTGATTAATAAATTAATTTTTTATTTTATAGTCTTAAAATGTAATGATAATCACTCATGACTAACCAGAACCTATGTCAAAAAAAAAACAGTTTTGTACTGATAAAAACAGTAACAATTGTCACCTTATTTAGGCCTAAACATTTGAATTAAATTTATTTCAATTTACATTTATCTATGTTGAAGTGTTTTTTCATCCAAAAAAATTTTTAACTCAATAAAATATCTTAATGTTAATAATCAATTATAAAAATAATCTAATCCAATAATTTTTTTTATAGGCAAAATTATAACTAGGCATAAAATTTTTAAGTTAAAGCATCAGTATTCAAATAATATGAAAAACATATAGGCCTACTTGCCTTCCAGCTGATGTTCGTTGCATTGTAAAGTCATGGCGTTTTTCAAATGGACATAAACCAGGGCTTGATATAACTGGATTTGGTGAAATTACAGCCTCCATTTTGTATGCTTTTTCTCCATCCTTGGGTATGGAAACAAGCATGACTAATTTTCCGACATCATTAGAGCTAGGAATAAAACTTTGTGCCATAGTTGCACAAGATAAATCAACCTTGTCATTGACTAGCCCTTGTCTTATTTTATGCAAATCTTTTTGTTCTAATGTTTTCCAGAAGAACTCACAGCTCTTTGGGTCAGCAAACTCAACCTCAGCAACAGGAAACAATGGAAACCCTTCAAGAATGATAGAAGGCAAGCTCTGTAACTTAACAGAAGGAGGATTAAAACAAATTGGCATCTCTAGTTCTCCTACTTTCAAAACTGCTCCTTTAACCCAGGCTTCTTGATTGGAAATAGATGTATCTAGTACTTGACCATTATGGATTACTTCTATACTCATTTCTGGCTCTGCTTCAACCTCAGGCACTTGAACAGCTTCGGCTTTATTACATGCTGATGTCTCGCCTTCCACGTTACCTTTTTTATTTTTCTGTTTTGGTTTCTTTGCCAACTTCTTTGCCAAGCTGAGTCGTAATCTTTCCATTGTAACGCCTAACGGTTCGCTCTTCAAACGGTTTAAATTAAATGATTTTAGAGTTCCCTTCGAGTTAGGCAACTCCAAGGAAATGTGCAAACGGTCTTCATTTTCAACGTTTTTTACATAAACAGACGACATTTTACAAGTTAAGATTGGAAATGATATTGTACGAGATTCCGTTAAAACTTTCCTACATTCCAATCCAGATTTCACTAATAAACTATTCAAGGATCTTGACACAATCTGTCGCAATGTGGATGCTGTCATCATAGTGGCGTAAAGTAGATACCGGAAACCAAATGATACTGAAAAAGAAAGCTGGAAGGGAGTGAACTCGTCTGTCACCTGAAAGCCTTTTAATGATTGGACATTTCCTTTTCTAACATAATTTTAATTAAAAATTCAATTGAATTTACACTAGCATTTAATTGTCAAATTTATAAATTAAGTATAAAAATGTCGATTAAGGATCCAAATATGTGGAGTTTCCTTAAGAAATACAGTTTAATGATAATATAGGCTATAAACATTAATTTGTTATTAAAATAGCATGGACACAGGCACAGGCGCTATTAAAGTATTCAGTCATCAAAATCTTCATCATATTTAAAAGCAAGTTAACAAAAACAACAAAAAACAAGGAAAGTGCAGTCCTTTTCTAAAATATTAATCTCCATCGAATCTAAAAAATATATATATATTTTTTTTTAAATAATTAACTTATTGGTTGTGTATACCAACAGTAGCGTAGCTAATGGGTTTTTTTCAGCCAAAGGTGGGATTGGGGAGAATTCTGCCACCCCTTCCCCCCCCCCCTGCAGTTGAACAAAAATGCCACCCCGTCCGCATGTTGTTGTTGCATGGCCTTCCATATTACCTTTCTTTCTCTGTCATATTATCTACTACTTTCAACTCAGAATACATTTATTTCAATTACTAGTGTTTTCAGATGTAGTATCATTGTATGTTGTTGCATGCCCTTGAACATAAGCAAATAAAAAAATGCGCGTTGTGATATTCAGTGGAGGTCAGTGGCCAAGTTCAATCAGAGATTTAACTATCCGAAATGCCGAGAATATAAATCTGACTCTACTGGTACTTACGATCTTGTCTTACAACTTAAAGCTTTTTGGTCCAATATATTTAAAAAGATAATTTTATATTATATTGAACAAACTTATTTAATATATATTTTCGTGTTAATTAACATATATAATGTTGATTAAAAAAACACACCATTCACTCTCCATTCGGTTAGATCAGAATAGTTTCACGGGAAGAAAATCTATTATATATTAATGTAAAGCGGGTGGTTCACTTTATTTGTAGCAAAGGTGATTGACATTTAAAATTATTTTAGTTTTCAATATGGCTTCATACGAGCCAAACTGGCATAATTTTGTTTTAAAAAAAAAAAATTTTACTCACGGGCTAGATGCCAGATTACTAGACCTAGTTACGCAGGTGCTCACTGCCAAAATACAACCAATCAGAGCTGATGTGCTCATTCACATCTTTCTCTTAAAATAGATTTTTAAGGTCGAAAGGAATAATTTTAAACATAGCGGTGTGTGAAATATTTTTAACGAATAGCTGTGAAAATTGATAATGATTAAACTATTCAACATATCTAGCACTTGAATGATTTAATTCATAATTAATAGCGGACAACAAGGACATACTTATTATTAGTTTAATTCAAAATGAATTATTTATCCTTTCGATCTAACTGGAAGTCAACACATCCATGATTGAGAACGAAGTTTCACCTAAGGATTATTTTCATTTTTATGAATATCTTATTCCGTTTTGTAATAATTTTATCTTTAAGATAGAACTAAACTATGCTAAGCATGTGATCATACCTGGATTCTACCCGGGTGGAAGCTGTTTCTATGGCTTCGTTTTTGGGTAGTTGTAGTGCTAGGGAGCATTCTCAAAGACAAAGATGGCGCTTGCATCTTCTCAATTTCAGGAATTTGTAGAAACTGCTTTGCCTGCTGTTTCTCAGGTAAATAAACCAGGATAAACGTTCGTTCTTTTTAGCACACTCAAATATCTGAACAAATGTTATTCGTGTTTTATATTACCGTATTTTAATAAATTGTCTCCCTTGAATTTGAATCTATAACACTGGGAAAAGTCAAAAGATAGTAATCCTGTCCTGAGTGAGTGAGTACTGAGTAAGACTTGGGTACTCACACTCCTAATGGGCAATGAATGGGCCTAAGCTTTTACTTGTAATATTTATAGCCTATTCTTAAATTCGCTACTCTATGAATTACAATTATAAAGGAGGACTTACATTGAGTTACATCCCTGAAGTCTAAAGACTAACTAAATAAAGTGAACTAAAGTTTAAAGAGACTAAAGTCAAAGTGCTACTGCTAAGTCTTAATTAACTTTTAACTTTAATAATTTACAAGTTTGAGTTTAATTTAGGACTTTCAAACTTTGATGCTTTGAATTTTAACTTGTAGTTTTATGAAGACCTAAGCCTAGTCTGTTTGGTACTGAGGCTGATGTCTTCATTCGTACTATCACGCATGGACTACTGCAATGCTCTCATGGTGGGTCTTCCAGCTACACTCCTGGATAAAATTCAAATAGCACAGAATAATGGGGCTCGCATTGTTCTTCGTAAACACAAATTCGACAATGCTAAAACACTTCTGAGTGAGCTGCACTGGCTGCCGGTCTGCACTCACATAGAGTACAAAATTGCAACTTTGTGCTACCGCTGCTTACATGACCTGGCGCCGTCCTATCTCAAAGCACTCATGACACCTTATGTACCCAAACGACAGCTCTGCTCATGGGATAGTGGCAAAATATTGATAACGCATGTACGTCTTGAGACTTATGGAAAGCGCACTTTCACATTTGCTGGCCCAAAAATTTGGAACGCTCTTCCTGTCACTCTCAGAAACAGCCAGACACTGGAGTCCTTTAAATCTATTTCGCAAACTCCTTCTGGGGTGATGTAGTCTACCATCCTTTTTCCAGTTAATGTATATTGGCTTGTGTTGCTTATGGTTGAAATGAGATGAAAGACTTTGACTTGTTATGCTTGTATGTAGTTTTCATATTGTTGCGTTTGTTTTTAAATGTGGTAAATTTTAGATTGTTTTTATTTCTCTTTTTAATATGGTTGACTTTGTTCTGCGCTTCGAGCTTTCGTGAATGAAGAATGTTTTTCAAATAAAATATTATTATTACTGCTATCAGTAGGCCTTTTATCATCTATAGCAGAGTTTCCCAATCTAGTATACTACATCAGGGTTTGTGAGGAACCCATTATAAGATGAAAAGAGCTAGGGGTGTGCCGGATCCGTTTTTTCCAACCGGATCCGGATTTTCTTATGCGAAATCCGCCGGATCCGGATTCCGGAATAATCCGGATTCCGGTTTCTCCCGGATTCCGGATTTTGGTTCTATTGGTAGATACTTCGGTAAGTCAAGGTGGACTACTACTTTTTGTGTATGGGAATTCGCAATCGGCGCCAAAAAATCCGAGTTTTTAATTTTCCGATGTGTGTGTCTATTTATTATTAAATTAGTACTTTCAATATATATTTGAGTTCCGTTCCATTTGGATATGTGTCTTACGAGAGACGCCATGTTTCTACGCGTTCGCAGCAGGTCATGCAGCTCGCTCAACCTAATTTCGCCATGGGGTTGGCCACGCCCCCCTTTTTAATGGCGGAAGTTGACGATACTTAGGAAATATTAATTTATTATCACTATTTACATCAAAATAATTGATAACTTGTGTTTCAGAATGCATTTAAAGACATTTAAACTGGAATGTTTTAATTTGAGCTTTAACAACCCGGTAGAATCCATATTATAAATGATCAGAATTTACCGTGTGCAACACGTTGTCATTGGCAACCATTCACAGCCACTTGCATAACTGTATCGTAGTACTACCTCAGAGTTTCATTCATAAGAGTTTGCCGTGTGCAAAAACTATTAAACCATTGGTCAGGGAAAGCTTTAATTAATTATTCATGTGCCAAAGTTGAAAGTTTAAACTAAGTCTAAACAGTATTTTAGTGATAAGGCAGGGAATGCGTTGCCTTATATAAACTATATAGTCATTGCGCATGACGGGATTGGTGGAATGAGATCACAGAATGTGGAGATGCAGTCCATGTTAAAAAATGACAAACCAAGTCGTACTTTAAAAATTCATAACTTTAAAACTACAACAGCTAAAAATATGATTTTGGTGTTATAATTCTTTAAAAAATTACATCTTTTCAACTATGCCATTGGTTTATTTTTACAAAAAGTTTAAATTTTCTTATCAAAGTCCCTACACTATTGGCCACTATTAGCGGTGCTGACTCTAGCCTCTGGTATGTACGGAATATTAAACATTAAACAAGCTCAACGCTCGAAACAATCGATTAATGTATCGTGATCGTGTGGAATTCGGGAAAGAGAATTACTTTTATTTCAGATTATGATCCGGTGAGTCACAAAATCTGGCAAATTCCGAAATCCGGTATATTATTATACTGTTTATTATTTGCCATTAAGTTCAGATATTAAATCAGCAATTTATTATTTTAAATTGATTTCTACCAATCAATGTGAGGTAAGAAATTTGATATAACCCATCTTTAAACTCCTCTCCATAGGTAATGTAATTATTTGACATAATGATAATAATAATAATAAGAGGTCTTATATAGCGCGGTACCCCAGCCTAGGGCTGGGCTCACCCCGCTGTACATAAAAATTTTATCAAAAGAGACATAATCATGACATTAAAATAAAATACATTTATGAAATAAAGAACAGCAATGTATATTCACCCACCCCACCACATAACTTTAACAAGGCAAACCATGGATGGCAGCCAGCTCGGTCAGAGGAGGGGAATCAGTCAGGGTAGTATAATTCAAAAAGATATGTTTTGAGTGCAGTTTTGAAGGCCTGGGTGGTTGGTATATTGCGTATGTGTAGTGGCAAAGAATTCCATTTTTGGGGGCGCAGAAAGAGAAAGATCGTTCACCATATGTTTTAGTGTGTGTCTTGGGAACGGACACACTACGCGGTTCTGCAGAGGAGCGAAGCTGTCAAAGGGGTGAATAGACAGAAAGAAGTTCGGTTAGATAGGAAGGGCAGGAATCCAAGAAAAAGTTGTGACAGAGAACAGACAACTTGTAGTCAATGCGTGCCTGTATAGGTAGCCAATGAAGGGAATGAAGTTTTATGGTGTTTGTATATCTATCTGTACTTTATGTCAAATGCCATTTGATTTTTTTCATCCACTTGTTAAAAATCCTCTCAAATTCACATCCCAAAAAAAAGGTAATGCAGACAGAATCTACATTATGATTTTTTTTCCATGAAACTATAAATACTTATGTCTTTAAACTTTTTTTTTACAGGGCAAGGGAGGAAAGAGAAAAGGAAAATTTAATAAAAGATCTGATGGAAGTTTTTCTGACAGCTCCAACAGTTTTATACGACAGGTAAGAAGCCATGGTATAGATAAACTGAATGTATATTTAAAGACAGGGTAGAAACAAAAAGATAAACTGAATGTATAGAAGAGGGTTTCCTAATCAAGATGCTTGCACCCTTAGGGGATGGGGTGCGATGTGGCATTTCAGAAAGGGCAAGGACAGGGATTATAAAAGCAGAGGAGACATTAGCTTTTAATTTTTGATATAAACAGTTATATATTTTTTTTACATTTTTTCATTTATATTTCATTATGTAATAAATCACAAGTTTATTTTCTAAGTTCAAAAGTTATCTGTGCCATTCAATTAACAAATCAGACATCAATTATTATCACATATTTTTAATTTTTTAACTTTTTTTAAGGGGTGTGAGACTTAGTTAAACAATTCTTAAGGGATGTGAGACTTGTCACATTATTTGTAGGGGATGTGAGACTTGTCACATTATTTGTAGGATATGCGCAGTAGAAGAGGCTAGAAAAAACTGGTGTATTTAGCTTTTTTTTTTAACCCTTTTATCTTATGGCTGAATTATTAGTTTACTATAATCCTATGAGGCACCATAAAAAAATATTATGAATAACATTGGCTATGTTGGCTATAAAAGTATTATCATAGAAAAATATGATATGAGATTAATTATGTTATGTTACCATCTTACTTCCAATTACTCTAAAATTTGTACATAATTTTCACAAAAAACACTATTTTTACTTCAACTGTTATCCTAATAATCAAAATTTTATGACACATCTTCCATGACATAACACACCAGTTAAAAATCCTATTGTCTAAAGTAGTGGTGTTAGTAATCCAGATTCATGTAAGATCTGGTATTTTATAAAGACTTGCCTGTTTTGCTGCAATATGCAGAGTCACTTTTAATAATAACTTATGGTATGTAGCATATTCTTTGATTGTGGGACATTTTTTTGTAACATAATGACAAGGTTGGATTAGAGAATTTAACCATTTTACCTCACATTTGTCAAAATTAATAGTCATTTGATTCACAAAAACATATTTCAAGCTATTAAAATGTATATAACCATTGGTATTTTTTTTTTAATGTGATTCTTTGATAAGCTATGGGTATTTTAAAAATGTGTGATATTCATACAGTGAGGGGGGTGGTTATGAGAGAGGAACAGCAATTAGCATATTAATTGCAATCTATTAAGGTTGCATTCTCTAAAAAACTTAGATAAGATTGTAAGAACCTAGAAGAGAATTTGAGACATGGAGCTATAATTAATTAATTAAGTTTTTCTCTATATTCTCTATAAATATGACTATATGCTTCAATCTCATATGCCCCACAGAATAAATACTAATTTTTGTTGAGTTTTTTAAGTCTCTTTTCAACCCAGCAGCAGAAACAATTGACTATCCTCCAGTGATTATAATATATATAGATAGATATAGATACATAGATATACACGAACTCACAGATATAGATACATAGATATACACGAACTCACTATTACATAGCAGAATGCAAAAGTCTTAATTTTTTTTTTTTTTTTTAAATTCAAATATAAAATAAAAGGGGGTGGCAGCGGAAACCTCAAACTTCTCTCATCGACTTCCGCTGCCGCCCTTTTGTGTTAGCGTAGCGTTTAATTTTATCTTTAGTTTACTTTACTTTTACATTTATCAATTAACACTTTTGTTGTTTTTTTTGTTGTTTTTTTTTGTAAATATTTACATACAAAATATAGAATGGAAAGAGAATTTTTTTTTTTTTTTTTTTTAAATTTTGGTGATGCGGACATTGACAGTGTTAAGACAAACGGACATATATACGTTATTAATCATGGTGGAATGTGTGATGTACCGTGGAATGAAATGTGGAAATGATTGGGACGATAAGTGGCATGGTGTGAAATGGTAAGCGAGATATGAACCGAAACATATGAAAATTAAACAAGATGATGGCTTTTTCCTTTCCGACTTTTCCGTGCCCTTGTGTGCCGTTTCTTTCCTGTAAGGAAAGAAAGACATCTTAAGCATAGACACTGTCTAGAGTCTGTGACGCCATTGTATATATACCTATATATAAGTATTTATTTACAAAGGTTATTTAACATCAGCTATCAAGAGGGAATGGGGCAGGGAAGATGGAGGGGAAGGAGGTGGAGGATGGGTAATATCGAGTAATACTAATACGGTTTTAAATTCTTTTAGTTTAACCTTAATATTTGAGTTTTAGTTTTTTTTAGTTAAGTAGGGTCTTGTTTTTTAGGATTGATCTATTAGGGTTTGTATTTTTGCTCTAAATAATGTTTCTAGTAACTTTTCTGTGCAAACATGTTTGTTAAAATTGGCGTTTTGTCTGCACTATCAAATGTGTTGTCTGTATTCCGCCAACAGTCGGAGGCTGACTACATGTTGGATTTTATTAATTGATTGAGGGATAGTGTTTAATGAAATACATTTATCTATGTTTACCGGGTGGGGTGTTCCTGCTTCTATGAGTATTTTTAGAGTGGCTTTAGCTATTTGTATTAGTTTGCAAATGTCTTAACCTCAAGTTAAGGTTATATGGAATCTGGGTAAATATGTGAGGCTGTATGCCATAACTTTCACCATTATTTCTTGTCCATTGTTTGATAACAATTCCTAGTACTTCATGAAATGATGGAAATCTATTTGAATGTATTCTGCATGACACTTATGTAGTTACATCACGTATCATCGCAAACTTCAGGCTAAAGTTTGTCTTTCACGTCTTGCCTTGACAAAGGGAGTTTATTATGTTGTGGAATACCTTATTTACTTTTCAAATTTGATTAATTCCCTTGAATATTGAAATGCCATGTGTTAACATTTATTATTTCTCCCTTGAAATTTCGTATCAGGATCTTAGTATTGGTATCTTACGTAAGGTTTAATGTATTTAACACTTAAATTAACAGTTCTACTGTATCTTTTGTTGAACATGACATAAAATGTTTTAATAAAAAATAGATTTAGTGACCGTCAAGTAGTAAATTTCAGGTCTCACTGTGGCTAGTTATGGTGTATTAGGCAAGAAATAGTGTGGAAGTGGGAAGGGAGGGTGAAATTGTTTAATCCTCCTTGGACAATAAGATATAACATATTTATCTTTCATATGCTACTATTTTTTTAAATTAAAACTAGAAGCCATTATTTTTATTATTTTTGTTTATAATATTATTTTTTTTAATTGAGACAACAGCGCACCCTATTGTAAGACATCTGTTTCTGTTGTATAGATATGTTTAATGTAGGATTTATTATAAAAAAAAAAAAAACAACTCCGCCTATCTTAGACCACTTTTATGGAGATTCTCAAAATGTGTTTATTGAAGCAGTTCCCCATGCCTTGATACAATTTATCAGTTCAGAATGTTTCAATTTATTAACGTGGTATTTAAGTTTGCCCTCTTCAATAATACAAATCTCACCTATGTGTTGAGAAATTAGGGATTGGGGCAAATTTAAGAAAACTGAAGTTTGTATGGTTTTTTTAGTAGTAAATTTCTTTCTTCTATTTTGTTATTAGTAGCGGGCCCTGAGTTGCTCACGGGCTCATTTTGACTCACGTGTATGTTATTAGTATTTATTAGTATTAGTATAAGGTTGGTAGGAATCCATATATGATCATCTAGGACTTTTTTTTTAATGTAAAATTGTTGTGGGTTTTGTTCGTGATTGTTTGGTTGGTTTTTGTTTTTTTGGGTGGGGGGGGGGGTGGGGGGTGAGAGGCAGTGTGTAGTAAAGCATTGATCAGCCATTGGCTGATGTGTGCAGCAGAAGAACGAGAGACGAATACCCGATCATCGATTTCTTTAAAAAAAAAAATTTTCTTTTTTTTTTTTTTTTTTTTTTTTTTTTTTTTAAATTCGCGTACCGATACCTAAATATCACAACAGTGTAACGCCATTTCTTAGAGACTTAATGTTCCCCTTACACCGCAGTGCCAATATGATTTTTATTTCGCGACTCTTTCCCTTCAGTTTTTTTTTTTAACTTATCACCTGTTCTGGGGGAAAAAATGCTGGTCAGCCGTCACGTCTCTGACACGAATTTTATTGGACTCAATCAAATCAAATATTGATCAAATCAGCTGTGATTGATTTTAAATCACCATTAAGCTCATTTCTTTTGTGTATTAGACATTGTGGATTGTTGCGCAAGGGGATTCGCAGTGGGATCAAAACGATTCTGGTGGCCAGGTGTTCATTTAATATTTAACCGGAGTCGTAAAGCATTTTTTTTATTTCATGGACGCCGCCGTGCTCCGATTTTACTAGCATGTCATGTCATGGAGGAGATCTCTTTGTGAGTCGTAGCAGTCCAGGCAATAAATATCACGGGCTTCTGCTGGGAGTTTATCAACAATGGATGACGAACACTACACGCCCCACCCCAACCCCTCAAATTGATTTTGCGAGAGTTGAAAAAAAATTTGACTTGAGTTGAAAAAATTTTTAGCCATTTTTTCATCCCTGTCTAGCAACATATAATAGCAGCTCGTGCGTGACACAACATGCCGGATGGGTACTATTTTATCCAGCTGGGAAGTTATCCTTGGATGTCCCGTAATGCCTATAGAGATCAACCCGTGTTGCCAGCCGTCCGTTAATGACGAACAGTCGGTAAACATTGGAATCAAAATGACGTGTCTATAAATTTCCTTAAGAGCCTTAGGGTGTCCGTTTTAACAAAAAATTGGGCATAGTCCAAAATTTACTTATACTTGAAACTTGTTTGATAACCATTAGAAGTTGAAGCTCCGCGATTGTCTTATGACATAGACTTCACACACAGCCGTAACATAGTCGGCCGTCTACATATATTATGTGTGTGTCTTTGAAAAATGTGTCCATAAAATAGTTTGCTTGTCCTTACCCTTCTGTTATTAGTTTTATGGGGGCTCAATCCGGATTCATTTTTATCATCACCGGCTCCAGATCATAACACGATGACAAAAAAAAATAAAAATAATAAACGAGTCGCATCACAGAGTGAGCGGTGTTGGTATAAGATTCATCAGTAACGTAATTGTGGATTCTGACATTTTAAGTTATGGTCGACTTTGTGCAAAAATAAGCTGACATACCGTTCCCAGTTTTGGAAATGGAATAAACGTGTGCACAATAGTGACGGAGTTATTTCAGTTTATTAATTTGATTATTTATTATTTTTTCACTTTGAAAAAATCCCTCACATTGAGGTTCACTATAGGGCTTCGGAGTTGGGCGCTAATTTACAATTTGGGCATTATGGATTTCCAGAGGCGTAGTGAGGGCGTTGCAGGGGGGGGGCAGATGTCCCCGGGCGTCAGCTAGTTAGGGGCGCCAAAATGTGCTTTGATATTATTTTATTGATGAAAATAATGGGTTTGAGGGTTGAAAAAAAGAAAAGGGGGCGTTTTAAAATGGATCTTGTCCCCGGGCGCCAAACACCCTCGCTACGCCTCTGTGGATTTCCGCCTTTGTACTTTTTTTTAAATATTTTTTTTTTGGTTACCTACATGATCTTTCAATTTTTTTTTTTTTTTTATGTTGTTTTTAAGTAAATTGTGAGGTAGTTGTTCTAAACACGTATTTCAAAATACCACTGCATATTTTATCTATAGTATGGGCTATTATTGCCTAGGTGCACTCAACAGTTGGCAGAATGCTCAGACATGTCTGCATTTTGTGAGCTGTGTTCGCATTTGATAAGCTTTGCAGTTACACGATCGGTGCAAAACATGTACACACCAGGACCTGAATGTCGAACAGGCAACATTTCAAACTCATGACGTAACAAGTGGCATAGAGAGAGAGTGTGTGTGTTTGTTTGTTTATTTATTTATGGCAGCACTTTCATTTGGACTGTGCCATCTGTCACTCGTTCCGTGCTGGTGGATTACCTTGATTGGCGCTCGTTTATTGGTTGGAGCACGGTACACGAGACCCTCATAATGGACGTGTGCGTGAGGGCCCACGAGCAATGCGCTGGTGCCAGACAACGGGGTGGGGGGGGGGGGGGGGGTGGAGGTAGCGGGTGGTGACACCGGTTAATGATGATGCTTGTGGTGATGGTGGTACAGCTTCACGATGGCCGCTGCTCGTGCGGCTATTGTCTTTTTTCGGTTAAGTTTGGAGAATGCTAGCTACTTGCTGGTCTCTCGCCATCCACGTCTGTGTTCGGCCAAGTGACGTCTGCTGATGTTTCAAACAGCGCAGTTGTTTTGAAATGAGTGCCGCCATCCCGCGACGATCGGCATGGCGCGATCCGAACGGTATTGTGTGTTGAATGGCGAATACATGACTCTGACTCGCTGGTACACACAGTAGCCAGCGGAAAAACACTTTGAAGATACCATTTCATTAGTGAAGTGTTTTTACGGCATTGCATAACAGTGAGCACGTGTGTTAACCTGATAAACATACTGTGTACCGTGTTGTTGATGGATAGATTGTTTATATTTGGGATGTGTTCGTGTTTAGACCTGGGTGCATTTAGTTTCGTCAAGACCAGGGTGCATTCGGTCAATACTTAAAAATCATTCGGTCAGTACTAAAAAAAAAGCTATTTGCTTTCTCTGTTGGATTTCTTCTGTCCTCACACATTTTTTTAAGATTAAACTATTATTTGTTCTTGTTTCTTAAGTTGTAGTAAAAATGCATTGAGCCTTGGCTCGACGACTGGTGTTTTGATTTCCTTTTAGTTCTAAATCCAAGTACCACAGTTACGTCCCTTTTCATTAAAGGCGTTTCATGTAGCCTAATCTCAAGCTACTGTATCAAGATTATAATTATTATTTTTTTTTGTTCAAACTACCTTTTGAACCTCTGTGGAGTAGGCCACATATCCTAATTTTCCAGTGGGATGCTCTGAAGCCGCCCTCAGTGTTTAAAACTTAAAACGATAGTTGACGTTTAAATTTACATTTAAATTTAATGAATGTGTAGTAAAGTCTTAACCTTTACTCTTCCTTACGTTACGCAATCTCTTACACGTCACGAGTTAACGATGGGTGGACAGAGCTTTGATCACGACTTCTGATGTCTTGTTTTTTGTTGTTGTTGTTGTTTTGTTGTTTTTTCTTTGTTCTTTCAAGTTTGTATGTTGTCGTTTGTTTTTTTGGTGTTTTTTTTGTTGTTTTTTTTTTGTTGTTTTTTTTTGTTCTTTTTTTTAAATTAATAAACACACAAATGATAATAAAAACGGGAAAGCCCTACTCCGATTCCAATAGACCTTTATTGAATAGACAGTCCAGGAGTCGTTTGAAATCATTTAAAGTACTCAAGGACTATAGTAACGGCTTGTGTGTCTTACTTTAAAACATAGCACACTGAACGTCAGAAGAAAGTCTTGTGTACAGCTTGTATTGGTGAATGTCAATCTGTTACATTTAGTTTGATGTTATAAATGTAAGCAGACGGCAGATTATTTAGTGTTTAGTAAAAATACTACTCATTTTGTGAATGGCCAAAATGAATGGAGCTGTTTAAGGGTAAGCTTAAATCATGAGGTAAAAGGTCATATTACTTTACTTTGCGTATCACAAATTGGGTCATGGCTGGCGTTAGCCTTACACTAGTTACACTTACAACCAAAAACTCGCCTCTCCCCCCCCCCTTTTCCCCAACAACCCCCCCCCCCCCCGAAAGAAATTATCTTATTAAGTGTTTATGTTCACTGGGTTAAATATATATTAACATTTTTTCCCAGTGCACCTAAAATACCTAAACAACCGACTCCAATTTGATAAATAACTCTTCACGCGTAAATCCAATGTCAGTGTTGAGTACTATTATTATAATGATGTTTATTATTATTATGGAATGTCAGGGTTCGGTTGTTGTAATTATCACGACAATGTTGCCTCCCCGAGTGCAAGTATTCCTCTATTCCCTGGTTAGCGCCAATCGATGGGTAATTGATGGATTACTTGCAGCGGGAGACGGCACGGCACAGCACTAGGATATCGGGTGTGTTTCACCCGAGGAGCAGGCCAATGGTTGGTCCGAGTACTCGCTGAAGTGTGTAGATGTAACTTCGTGTGCGTGTGTTTGTAAAGCATGTTTTGCTGGTCTCCAGCCGGTTGATTTGTCAGGGTCGGTGGTTTCAACGGGTGGGTCTCAAAGTGTTGGTTATTTAAAACAGTGTGTCTTAATCTTCTGTTTATTTCAATCAGTTGATATCTTGTATTTTGCTCTTTTTTTTTTCCAAATGATTTTTTCTTTTTTGTGGAAAGGTGTTCAAACCTAAGGTCTCAGTCAGTTGGGTTGCACTATGTTACATATAGAAACAATTGAGGACAGCCAATCAACTATATAAAGAAGAACTATATAAACATGAATGTGTTTAGTTTACATAGTAGGCTCAGTGGGCTATTTCAAAATTCCCTACCGTGGATAGTCAGCGTCCAGCATCCGACCACGTAATATGCAATTGCTTTACCCCGATGCCCATGGCATTGTGATGACGGCTGTACACCTATGAACTTTTTTCCTGTGGAAAGCATCGACAAGTTGTTGAATGCGTTCGGGGATAAATAACTAAGTGTTCAGCCGATTGGGTTCTCAGCGGTTTCATCCACCGTTAAACAGGTCACTATAGATTTATTTTTTTTAACTTTTTTTTTGTAACCCACTGCATAGATTCAAGAGCCTGTCTTAACATCAGAATCCGAGTTTGAAAGGGCATTTTAAAGAAATAAACGATCCTTGCACTTTTTTATAAAAAAATTTGTTGTTTGTTTTAAGCCCCATGCCATGTTAAAATACTAGCATGACTTAACAAATGGGGTTTGCGTAAGTTATGTTAATGTCTGCTATATACTTCCCATAATATACATTTTCTGGTCTCATCTGTGGATTCAGGATAGTATTTTACCTCGACACCTTCGCCGTGTCTTCTTCTCCAGTTAATATGAAGAAAAATAGATTTTTTTTTAGAAAAGAGACTGAAGTGACGAAACCGACATTAATGTACATTGTTTCAATGTAGAATTTCATCGTAGAATACCCCCCACCGCAAAAGAAAAAAAGAATTTAAAATCCCCCACCTGTTCCCCCCTAAATTCCCTTCCCTGGAATTATCATTTCTAAATATGCTATTCCCTTGTTGTTAATATTAGTGTCAATTTTTGACTGATACTGATGTGATAATATGTATCGTTGACTATCTTACATGTCTTAATACAGCAAAGAAGTCATAAAAAAATGGTTTGAGACCTGCGATAATTATAACAGATGCTATCTAAAAAGGGAAGAACGCATTAGCTCGTCGACCTGCATTTAAAACGTCCAAAGAATTTTTAGGAGAAATTTTTTTTGGCAATTTTGATGATTTAGTATAGCGACGCGCTTTCAATCAACCTTTACAGGCAATTTTTTTTTTAAGGCTGTTTGAAGGACCTGTTCAATAATGTACATGCGAAACAATCTATTTAAACGTGACAGTCAAAAGTATTTTGTTTTATCTCTTCTCTACGATATGTTTCTTGTGCTCCTATCGTTGCGCTAAAGAATCTCTAAATCAACATTTTGGGATGCATACGGATGCAAAGTTATTTAAAAGAAGCTGTTCAGAAATCTCCACCCGGTGCTCCAAGTTAGTCGAGAAAGAATGACTTTTTTTAGAACTATGAAGTAGGACTAGCTCCTTTTCCCAATCGGACCTGGTTTGTTCAAGGTGTCTAATTATGGAGCTGTACTGACCTTTCGGGCTTTTCAGCGGACTCCAGGCTGATCCCGTGAGCACCACAGGACCTTTAATCTGTTCATTGTCACGTGCTCGTGTGCACGACATTGTGTCTGTTCCTCTGGCATTAAATATTCATGGGTTTCCCGACTCTCGTCCCATCTTTTCTTGCGGTGTTGGGAGGAAAAATGAAATGGAGGATTGGGTGTATTGATATGGCTGACTTATTCCTGTCTCTCTTTCTTTTCTTTTTTTTTTACATTGTGGGGTATGTGGCGTTCTTTCTCACTGTCGTGAAATAGTTGGCCTTTGACAGTCGGTGCTATGATTGGTCTCTGTCCGTCGGTGGAATGGTTGGTCTCTGTCCGTGGTGGAATAGTTGGCCTCTGTCCGTCGGTGGAAAGGTTGGTCTCTGTCCGTCGGTGGAAAGGTTGGTCTCTGTCCGTCGGTGGAATGGTTGGTCTGTGTCAGTCGGTATTTTGGTTGGCCTCTGCCAGTCGGTGCAGTGGTTGTTCTCTGCCAGTCGTTGAAAGGTTGGTCTTTGTCACTTCGTTGATTATTTGTTTCCGTCAGTTGTTGGAATTGTATCTCCTCTTTCAGTGGGTGGGATATGAGGCCTTCAATGTCACTATCGTGAAACAGTTGGTCTCTATCAGTTGGTAAAATAGTTGTTATCTGTCAGTAGGTGGCATTGTTTGGTCTCTTTAAGAGTGATGGCTGGACTCTTAGTGTGTGTGATATTTGGCCTTCCTTGTCACTGTCGTGTAATGTCTGTCTCTATCATTTGGCGGAGTTGTGTTGCTTCTGTCAGTTAGTGAACTGGTTGTTTTCTTATATGGAAATCTGTAGAGTTCTTTGATTAATAGCTAAGTAATCAAATATTATGATTCCGGAATCCAGCACCCGCTTTCAGAGGCCTTCTCTAGGGCCCGACTTTACAAATATGCTCACACGAGTTAACAACTCATTGTCTTAGCGTCAGATGTTTTCGCGTTAGTATTTTAAATAACGTGTGGTCTTAGTAAATTCAAAGTTGACTATTTAATTCGCGTGCACAGAATGGGGGTTGTTGGTACTCTAGCGTGTTAGTGGGGCTATGTTGGTACTCTAGCGTGTTTGTGGGGCTATGTTGGTACTCTAGCGTGTTAGTGGGGCTATGTTGGTACTTTAGCGTGTTAGTGGAGCTAAGCCACTGGATGCACGTGATTGATTGATTTTAGTTTTATATTACACTGTTTTGTATGTGTGTGTTTTTTTTTTAACTTGCGCAGGAATATTTCCGTTTTGACCATGGCATATTTATTCTTAACACCTTAGTTTGCATTTCTCGTGATCAGTTTCTTGCATAGAATTTAACCTATACTAATTTGATGGATCCTCAACTTCATGTTCGTTGCAGATTTCCTCCACCCTTCCTCCACCCCCCCCCCCCCCCCCCCCTACCTTTTTAATAATTTTTTTTTTTTTTTTAAACTTTCGACTCTCAAACTAACACATAATTTAAATTTGGCTTATTCAAAGCACCAACGCTTTTTTTCAATGAAAAGAAATTTTGTTTAAAAATAAAATAAAAGGTTGTTTAAAAGAACAGTTTGCTTGTTGGAGGAGGGGAGCTGACTGTATTTGATGTTGTGCTGTGCGGTGGGTAAGTTTTGGTCGGCCCGGCCCATTTCAGCCACGCAACAACTCCAGACGCTCTCAGGACACGGAGTGTAGAAATGAGAATATGCAGATGATGTTCATTAAGCCTCGCTTGCATGGAAACTAGGGCATTAACGGTAATGGCAAGATGGTGGTCATAAGACCGGGCGGCGATCTGACCGCGGTGTTGGGGAGGGGAAGCCGTGGCGTGTTGACAGCATGGTCACCTAGTGGGAACGTTATAGGCGTTAGTGGGAGACAGGGGATCGAGCAGCCAGTTGTGGGAAGAAACAAATGGGAATTGGGTGGACAGCAATCGAGTTTACGGTACAGTCGGTCAAATGTGAGGCAATAGTCGGTCAAAAGTGTAAGACAGGGGACTTCATTGGGACAGACGGTCAAATAAGAAAGGGAGTTCATTTCGGTACAGTCGAATAAGAGTCCTCATCGGTACAGTCTGTCAAATATAAGATAAAGGTCCACATCGGTACAGTCTGTCAAATGTAGGACAGGGGTCCACATTGGTACAGTCGGTCAAATCGAATTCAGTATTCCAAATGTTCTTGATTCGGTTTTGCCGCACTTGAAAATGAACCCCATGTCCCGTTTGTTATATTACATCCATCGGTAGGAGGAGAAAAAAAAATGGTTGTAATCTCCATATATTATATTATTTAAATAAATGAGCCTGCCCAAGCTTAGTTCCCTCCCTTTTTTTTTTACTACGTATATAATAACCACTAGTTGAAATGGAGGACCCCCGATGGGAAGGGGTCAAGTGAAAGAGTTTATAAATGTCTTACCCTGTTTAAATTTTTTTTTTAAATTTAAAAACTCCTCTCGGATTAAATTATGCAAATATTATTTCGATTGACGCTGTCCATTCCGAGCCGTTACAAGTATTTGAGATAACCCGTGTTTACGATCAGTCGTCGGTTGAGGTTTTGTATCTACTTTTATTCATGTGCCGGTTGTTTTTCGTACAAAATAAGTGTGTGCTACTTTTTACCGTGTTGTTGCCGATTTGTTTGTTTGTAGTTGTTGTTTTCTGGTTCCAATCATTGTGTAGGAAGCTCACAGAAAGCATCTCGCAATAAGCACACTCCCCTCCCCCCGTTAAAAAAATTTTTTTTTTTTTCTTCAAAGCGTACAGTTAGCTGGCGTCTTTCATCTTCTGTTGCTGAGATCCATTCCATCGGATTATTTGGCTACGTGACCTTGGGTGACCTTGGATGCACATGAATCCTCGACCTCTATGTGTCTTAGAAGAATGCATGCGCGGTTGTTGTTGTTTTTTTTTTTTTTTTTTTTTTTGGGGGGGGGGGGGTTGTTACCAAATGTCCCTTAGGTCGAGGGTCCGCAACCTTTTAATAATAACGTGCTTAGTAAGGATATCTACTTCGTTCAGCGTGCCAAGAACCACAAGGCTTCAGTGTGTATGCTAGAGCAATTTTTCTTGGTCGTATGCGTGCCATTGGAAATCGATCTGCGTGCCACGTCTGGCACGCGTGCCGTAATTTGCGGACCCCTGGTTTAGGTTATATCTCGTGCAGTTGCAGTGACGCTTGCTTTTAAGGCATTGTGTGAAATTGTCGAAATGACGTCAGTGACGTATTGATTATCTTCTGCTTTTTTTTCCCACCGAATTTTCCCTCATTTGACCAAATGCTAAAATACTTGGTGAGCGGCTGTTGACGTCTTGTTGGTGTATGTGTGTGTGGTGGGGGGGGGGGATATCGAATATTCTCAAATTCGATTACTACTTTTTGTTATCAACCAGTAGTCGTTTACTGTCACTAGTTCACTTTTTTATCGGTTACCCATGTCGTATATTAGAAAATATTGCTTGAAATTAGAAATGGCTTTTTTTTTTCTTCTTTCCGCTAATTTTTTTTTATAAATTATTTTATGAAATTGTTTTATTTTGGGTTGGTTCGTGGTTTGATTTTTGAAGTTGGCGTTGTTTTGTTGTGGTAGTTTTCTCTATTAGTCCACCAACGCCATGAGAGTGTGCTTTTACCTTTTACCAAAAGCATTAGTTGTCATTCACCCCAACTAGCTTGAAATAACAAAACTGTAAATCTATTCAGAAATTACAGAGTATTGACTTGGCAGATGAGAAAACTTAATGGTTTGATATGTATGGTTTGGGGGTTTTTAATGTAAAAATGTGTATTTATTTTATTTTTTATTCACTTATCTCAACTTTTTGCGTATTCTTCCCACTCCTAATAGGCCCATGCCTCTTGGATATAGCATCAGTGGGCGAAATTCCTATTATAATAGTTTTGTAAAGAAGATAGTGTAAAATTATGATGGAAACCAATAAAATTAAGGAAATAACAAATAATGTTTATAAAAAAGCAAAACGTTACTATATCGAAGGGAAAAATGGTTACCAGAAAGTGCAATGACGAAAACAAAAAGTGGTTTCCAGAAAGTGGAATGACGAAAGCAAAAAGTGGTTACCAGAAAGTGCAATGACGAAAGCAAAAAGTGGTTTCCAGAAAGTGCAATGACGAAAGCAAAAAGTGGTTTCCAGAAAGTGGAATGACGAAAGCAAAAAGTGGTTTCCAGAAAGTGGAATGACGAAAGCAAAAAGTGGTTACCAGAAAGTGCAATGACGAAAGCAAAAAGTAGTTTCCAGAAAGTGGAATGACGAAAGCAAAAATTGGTTACCGGAAAGTGCAAAAACGTAAGCAAAAAGAGGCTACCGGAAAATGCAATGACGAAAGCAAAAAGTGGCTACCAGAAAGTGCAATGACGAAAGCAAAAAGTGGTTACCAGAGAGCGCAATGACGAAAGCAAAAAGTGGCTACCAGAAAGTGCAATGACGAAAGCAAAAAGTGGTTACCAGAGAGCGCAATGACGGAAGCAAATAGTGGTTGCCAGAAAGTGGAATGACGAAAGCAAAAAGTGGTTACCGGAAAATGCAATGACGAAAGCACCACACGATAACGACGGTCTCGTCCCGCCTAATGAGGCAAACTACCCAAAAAAAAAGTAAAAAACAACTGCATCCCCAACCCGCGGACAATGAGGCCGCTGTGGCTAGCATCTTGGATGCTGAAGGGAGGAGGAACCAGGGATGAGGGAGAAACAAATATGCTAAACCATTACAAGCCAACTCTCGGGATGCTTAAAGGAAAAAGAAACCAAGTATTAGTCGGGTAGGGGTGTCAGGGCTTGCTTGGATGTTGAGGAAGCAAATTCACGTGTATTGATTTCTCTTGTAGCAGTATTAAATGGAATGGGTTACCCGTAGCGGGTTAACCTAGAATTTGGTACGTTTGGGGAAAAGAAGAAGGAGAGAGAAAAGTGTGTGTTTGGGGGGGGGGGGGGGGGGTTATGTCAATGGATATATTTGTTGTGGAGTCGGGGAGGGCTATAACAGCTATGTTCAAGGGAGCGAAGTGTGAGGAAGTGGTGTCATTGACAAGAGACTACTGACCGGTGGAAGGCTTCGTATCGTAAAGATAATTTTTACTGAACTGTGACATCTTGCATTTGGCAATTTCAAGTTGGGTCTTTTGCTGTGCATAGACATATAAAGCCATGACTTTCTGAGTGGTCAAACTAAGTGTAGTCATCCAGTTGCGAAAATGTTTAGGACTCTGACCCATGTTTAATGTTGTGAATTTTATTGGCCTGTGTTAGACCCAAGTAGGGGTAGAGGCTTGCGTTGAACTTTACAATCTTGGGTTAAACTCAAGGACGGCTAGAGGAATCTGTTGAATCTCACAATCTTGGGTTAAACTCGTGTAAAAGGTAAAAGTCTATTATGTTGAACCTTTGGCGGTATTTCACGGAGGGGGTACACAACAACCCCTTCAGCGCAACCGTTCCCAGCGGGGCGTGCCTTAAAATGGGCACTGACAACAACTGGCGAGCCCCCCAACAACCCCTTACGTACCCCCCCCCCCCACAAGCTGGCCAATAGAGGCGTGTCTAAGTTTGAGTACTGGCAATTATTGTCCCCTTGTCATGAGAGAGGGGGTACACAACAACCCCTTCAGCGCACCCGTTCCCCGGGGGGCGTGCCTTAAAATGGGCACCGAAAACAACTGGCGAGCCTCCCAACAACCCCTTACGTACCCCCCCCCCCCACAAGCTGGCCAATAGAGGCGTGTCTAAGTTTGAGTACTGGCAATTATTGTCCCCTTGTCATGAGTGTCGCCTCTCGCTGAGCATGCACGCGCGACGCAATTACCCTCCAAAATAGCCTATTTATTCTCCCTTGAACTTAGCCCGCAATCTTAGAATGGTGGAGAATCCTTCACATTGGATCTTTCTTACTTCTGGTCAATTTCGCTGGCGATCCACAGCTGCCCGTGCGTCTGGTGTAGTCTAGCAAGTGGCTGTAAAGTGATCCCAGCGGTATTTTTCGTATGGAATTTTATTTTCAGATCATTGGTGGAGAATGAAAGTAGGTGCGTGACTTCCTGAAATGTGTTGGGGGCAGTTTACGATATTCGGTGAGAAATGCGATATCTCAACGCACACTGCTGTTTAATGAGGTGTCCACGGACTTCATGTTCTGTTGGATAAAAACTTCATCAGTTGATACTGGATACTGATTGATATTAAAGGCAGCTCGGTGGGAGGTGATGTTTCGGTTGGAAACAAATATCTGATCCAGGGTTTGCTTTAAGCCATGCCAAGCGGTGTAGTGACAATGAAGCTTGAGTTTGTTTTTTAATCTGAAAAGTGCCGTGAAATTTCGATTTCCGAATGTGTCATTTTAATAATTTATGACAACCTCAAAGTCACTTTATATCCCGTAATGAAGTTGTAGATCCAAGGTCAGAGCTTGTAAACCTTGACCTACTTGCAGTAGCGTATGAAAGGGGGGGGGGGGGGCCGCCCAGGGTGGCACTTTTTTCATTAATATTGAGGGGCGGAATTTTCAGTCAACTGCTTGGGGGGGGGGGGTCCATGGAAGGGGGTGGCAAAAATCTTGATCCTACCCAGAGGGCATTAACCCTAGGTAGGCCACTTGCTTCTTGTTTATCAAATACTTAAATTGCTGGTAAATAAATTGTTCATAAGTAACCATTGGTTGTTGATACTAGTCATTGTTTTTAATATATCTGAATTTAGGCAATGACTACTGTTGCCCACAGTTGATAACTAAGTTTACGCCTAAAAGCACACACACAATTATTGTACACATATAAGTTTTGATTGGTTACAAAAAATGTGAGGGGGGAAGATTTTACTATGTCAAGTTAAAAGGATAAAACTTCTATAGGCTTCTCTAACCATATTTGTTAACTTTCCTTTTTTATCTTTGCTTTATTTCTCCAAATCTGGTGAAAGATTAATACTTGAAATTAATACCCATGCATTTCTGACGTAACATACTTTGCTTAATACTGTGCACACTCTTGAGCAAGTCAGGCTCTTCTGCCATGATAAATAGCAGATGCTTCCCAGATGTGCCTATTACAGCCAAAGTACACAACCCATTACTTCTATTAGACTTTTCCTGTTAACAAACCATCAAGATGGGGTGCAACATAAAATAATATTTCTTGTGAGGATTTTTTAGTTAAAGCTTTTGTAAGATTAAGGAAAAGGTGAAATTTATAGAAATCTGCTTTAAACAACACCGGTATTTGAAATTTGTTAACCAGTTTTAAGAACTTCTATTTTTCTTGCACATTAATTGCTTTTCTAATAAATATTTCACATATTTTTTTTTAATGCTGCACTGTATAAGACTACTAGAGAATTAGCTCTGACTCAAACATCTCTAGACCTTCTAACTGGTGGAAGGTGAATCTAAACCAGTCCTGTTAAGCTTCCAGCCAGGTACCAAAAGGCTGGCTAGAGATAAGTTAACCCAGGTGTGCCTGGAATGTAGACTGCTTGTATTGCTTTCCTCCTGTCACTACTCTGTGAAGCCTATGAATTTTGTGAAGTAAAAAGAAAAAAGGGAAAAAAGTTTGTTAAAAATTGTGTTCCATGCTCTGCCAGTTAGCCACTCCTGTGTGTAGGAAATTCTTTCCAAGTCTATAAGATATTTCCCTGGGTTTGATTCTTGTGTATTTCTGGATGTAATATTTACTAGCTGGGATGTTATACTTGGTTGTTTTTTTTATTTTCAAACTGGTTAAGTCACGAGTTGGGAAGGGGGGGGGGGCAGAAGAATACCAACAGGTCAATGTATTATGTGAACAGTTATTGTGTTTGTTGGCCTGGAGTCAAACATTCATCTTGTGTATTTCTGGATGTAATATTTACTAGCTGGGATGTTATACTTGGTTGTTTTTTTTATTTTCAAACTGGTTAAGTCACGAGTTGGGAAGGGGGGGGGGGAAGAAGAATACCAACAGGTCAATGTATTATGTGAACAGTTATTGTGTTTGTTGGCCTGGAGTCAAACATTCCATGACATGCCAAGTTGTCTGCACTCCACAAGGATAAAATATCAAGCAGGGCAGAAAATTTATTGTTATGATAACACATTTTAACTACATTGTGTGCTTTACTTACCTTCAGCTCTGGATTATTCACCTCATAATCACATTTGATGTTGATTAGATTGAAATTTGAAGTGATCATTAAATATCTCTATGTCTTAAATTTCCTTTAAAGTAAATTTTTTAAAACTTTATGCTGAAATTATGTGTCATTAAATTGGGTTTTGGTGATGGGGATATGTGCCCTTGGTTTAAATTCTTCTGTACTGGAGAGTCGTAGGTCAATCTTGTATTTAATTTTCATTTTAAATATTCTTAATAGTTGAATATTTTTATTTGATCAGTTTTCTAAATAATGAGATTGGTTACAACTGTTTTATGAACTGACATAATGAACACTGGGGCAAGTGAGGACTGGTGCCTTCATTTTGTAAGCACCAATCTTACCAGCAGCAGACATCTCTCCAATGTCTTTTTAGAATGCGAACAGATGTTGTTGGGTTTTATTTTGTGAGGTTTTCCCTGGAGCTTAATAGTTTGTGCTAATTTGGTGTTTTATTGCATCCAGTTGCATTTCTGTTGAATTATAGCTGTTTGGTTGACTTTTAATCTTGTGAGATTACTGTTTTGGACTTCCATCTTAAGGAATATGTGTTAAATTGTTTCAGTGACATTTTGCAGCCGATGAAGAATGTTTAATGCTTTGTTCTACGTTCAAGTTGGATGGAACGTTTAAGTGCATCTTTACAAACACTGTTAAGTACTTGATCAGTGACAAGTATAGATTTCCCATTACTTTTAACATTCTGCTGGATAATTCATGTGAACATACAAAGCAACTGTCCCTCACCTGTGTTGGATACTTTAAGGATATTGTCATAACTTTCTCTACATGGAGAGGGCGTGTTTCCTATCTGTACAAACTGTGATAGTGACATGCGAATCAAGGCTGGGGAGACCAATGGGCTGCAGGGAAACATGGAGAGCAATCCCATAATGCATGAGACTTTGCCCCAAGGCAGGATGGGACGGCTGAAGAAGGAAGTCACCTCTGGGCTCAGCGACATCGATTCTCTGGTAATATTGATATTGAACAGCCCGCATTTACCATTTTAATCCAAAATCTATTTTATTTTTCCATTGCAGATGTGACATATGATCATTCCATAAATTCCTCAAGGCCTTGTTAAATAATAGAGAAAAAAGAAATCGTTTCAATTAAACTGGGCTTGAATTTGCCTGTTCACCAGATGGAACAATCGCTGCACACCTTGAGATAAGAACAGACACAGCTTTTTTCTGGTGGTTGACCAGTAGAAAAAAGGGAATTACATAAAATCACTTTTTGTAACCACAACGATGTAATAATTTTATAAAGACTAATGAATCAAGACAAACGTGTCTCAAAAACTGTGAGTTTAGGTTCAACAAAGGCTACATTATGCATCTGGGGCAAATCTCATAAAGAATTTGAGTTCGGAACTCATTTACTGTGGTTTTGTGGCCAGTCATACTGACAGATTCTCTTGTTTTCAGCGGTAATGAAATCGATCTTGTTCACCTTGATACAAATGTTCTGTTATTCTTACACAGGGTTCTGCGGATTCCAACTACAGTCAGCCATCATCAGATATTTCACTAGATGAAGAGAAGGAGGCACTACGACGTGAAACTGAGAAACAAGCGCTTTCTCAGTTAGAAAAAGCTAAGGTAAAGTGACAATATTAGTAGTATAATGGTATTGGACTGCATCATCGTTGCTTGTTTTATCAGGCAAATAACATGCTAATGAAAGCAATAGGCACTAATTGTCATAGGGTTCACTTTGATCTATTAAATAGTCAATCTCTAAAAATGAATGAAATAACTGAATTGGCAGCTTTGAAAGGATTTTGAACACCGGCTACATGTTTAAAAAAAAATTTTTTTTTGTTTTTTTTTTAATTCAGAACATGAATCTTCAGCTTTAACTTTTTACTAGGATACATAAGGTAATCTTTGCTACTAGGCGACATTCTATTAAAGAACAATGCTGGTCCACAAATGGTAATTAGTGATATTTCTTTATTATTAAAAAGAGTGCATTTCCCTTACCTTGAACCAGTGGCATAGTCAGGGTTGGTGTCACCCAGTGTGGTAAACTCATGGTGTCACTTCCCCCCTCCCTCCCTCTCCTCCCACCTAAACTCATGGTATCAAAACACCACCACCCACCCCCCTTTCCCCTCAACTTCCAGGATGGGTTTCTTCTTGTTACAATAAGTCCACAGTACAACAATGAAAAAAACAAACAAATTAATTGATAGTCAGGAGTTTAATTTTTTTAAGAGCATATAAATAGAATTTCTCTCTCTCTCTCTTCCCCCCCCCCCCCCTTTACAACATCTTATTTGCCATCAATGGAAAGCTTTATTTCTCAGAATTAAGATAAATATAGCTTCCTGTTTCTTACGAAGATTACCAACACTTAATCAGCATTGAATCATAGTAAAAACTGTGCTTTTCTGACCTAATAATAGAGTCATCTCATTTATGATGCCGCAACCTGGAACTTACAATAAAGCATGCATTTTGATTCATTATATGTGTGGAAAATTTATGTGTGATCGGTTTTCCTTTTATGAAATTTGGTTAGACCAAGCAGTGTGGGCTCTGTAAATATGCAAATTTTCAATTTGGTGTCACCCCTTGAGATGATGTAACCCGGTGCCGTCCACACCCACAACACTCCCATAGCTATGCCACTTTGAACAACAAATTTTGAAATAAACCACAATGGCTTTAAAAATATTATTCACTGCTAAATATTTTATAATTTGCTATTGAAATTTGGTCAAAATTAATATGACTGAATTTAAATAGTTTAAATAGATGGGTGCCTAAAGAGACATTTGACAGGCTTGAGAATATAAAATCACAATAATCAAGTGTTACACATAGAGTGTGTAACTTAGAGATGAAACAAACTATAATAGTTAACTGTACAGTCTATGTGCAGTCTGTTGCCATCCACAGGAGAAATTATTGTACAAATTAGTGGTTTCCTTGTTGCAGTTGTAACACATGTCCTCCTTCATGCAATTACATAAAATACATCATACATAGTTTTATTTATGCATAAATATAATGCCAGCTGGGACATTGGGTGTAGTACACCTGCCTGTCACTTAAAGGAACCTTTTCTCCAATCTCCATTTTAAAAAAATTGTGTGTCCTTTTTTAAAAATAAAATATATGTGACACCGTAATTAAGTTGTAAGAAATAAATATGATACAATAAAAATGAGATCTGTTGTAATATGAATTGTACTGCTATTTTGATGGGTCATTTCTATCAGTTTTAGAATTGAACAAACACATTACATTCATGAAATACAAGCATAAAAAAATGAAAATTCTTTTGAATATTGGAAAGAAAAAAATCCAAGACCTTGGTTCATTTTCAGGTTCATTATGTATCATCAAAATTATTATTTTAGATTTCATGTTATTCAACTTCTAAATATATTGACTTGATAACTCTCAATTAAATTTGACTGGTTAGGCATAAACCTATTGCACTTTAATGAACTCATTTTAAGAAGAAATGAAACAAAATTATATCAATTTTTTTTATTTTACTTTAAGAAAAATCTAAACACAAATTTATATAATTTAGATTAGGAAAGCAAGTTGGTAACAATTAAATATTTGAAATTTTGTTGATTGTTATCTCATCCCACCAATATTTCAGCAGCCACACTTTGAGGGTTCATTTAAAATTCTAAGCATACTTTTAATATCATCAATTTATCTCTTGAAGAAATCCATTATCCTTTTTTCTCTCCCCCATAATGCTTTCAGGCCAAACCTGTTGCGTTTGCTGTAAGAACCAATGTGTCCTATGATGGCTCTGCTGATGATGACTCACCTGTCCATGGCTGTGCGGTGTCATTTGGGGTCAGAGATTATCTCCACATAAAAGAAGTGAGGCTTACATCATTAGTTTCTTAATTTATTATGTCCATGACTCAAATTTTCAGTCTTAACCTTGGTCCTAAGTTCAGGGTATAATGCATGATCTGACCCTATAAGTGCAAAATGGATGTTTAGTGTCCATACTAAGTTATTCTTTTTACACTTCACATCATAAATTGTTTATTTCTGATAAAATCTATTGCAAGGTTAGAATATTCCTCTTACAGTTTATGAAATCCCGCCTCCGTCTGCCAACCTTTTGTTTTTCAGTGTAAATGAATTGTTTCAAAACTCTTTTTCTCATTAGCTTTTGTGTTTCATTCTTATAGCATAATTAGAACTTATTTCATTCCTTAAATATCTTTTAAACTAATAAACATACTGTTTAAAATTTCATAAATGTAACAAAATTGTACTTCAATACTGTGTGGTCGCTTCTAGCGCTAAACACTATTCAAGGAACTCTAGTTAAGAATGAGGGTTTGAGAATAACTGGCTTAAAATATATGTGATCAGAACTAAGGTGTTAATAGATTATACTCCCCCATATTTTCTTTTTTGGCACACCACCTATTTATTTTACTATCTGTAGCCTCAAAACTTCCCTCAATATGCAACTGTATGACCGGAAATACATTATTAGATCATTCCCATTCAGATTAGCAAGTGCAGATATTGACTAAAAAGCACAAAAATTAGACTGTCATTTCTTAGCCTTGTGCCAAATGAGGTAATTAACCAATAAATAGTCTTGCTTTTAATATGGCAACAAATGAAGTTAAATTATACAGGCCTACAGCTGATTTTTTTAATGTTTTCATTCCTTTGTTGGTATAGACATTAGCATATTGTGTGAGGAGTATGGGAACTTTAAGGGGGGGGGGGGGGGGGGGGTGTGTCTGATGTGTAGATTAATATAGCTAATGCCATCACATAAGGGGATGGAGTTCTGCACAAGTGTAAAGGTTTACATTATTTGGCAAGTTTAGACATTTTTTAATTACTTTGACTATAAAAGGCAAAATTAAGAGATGTGGTCCTAGTTGCTGGTTATCAGTTACTGCCAGGGGTCCAACTTGGGTTTTAAAAAACTGTAGCCACAAAGTTAAGTTAAACATCAAATCCATATCAAAATTGAAACAGAACTGAATTACACAGCTTTAAGTAGACTAACCCTTATTGCTAATGGATTGGTAAGAATTTGCCATAAAACATGGGTAGGACCACCATTCAATGTCTTAATCACTGATCATAAAAGAAAATGTGATTTTTTTTGTAAACTTATACAAGAACTTGCTGCAATTAGATCATTTGCTAATAAAAGGAATGGTTTAATTTTTCCTTTCTTTCAAAGTGTGTACATTTGTGAATAATTACATTTTGAACTTTAAACTAGACGTTGTACTTCAAGAATTATAAGACTCACTTTGAACCGATTCATATGGTTTAAATATACATTCTTTAATAACTCCACACAAAAAAATACAAACTATATATTTTAGATGACGGTAACTTGTTCAGTAAATCAGTTTTCATAGGATGAATACTTCAAGGAGGTAACATGTCAGCTTGAGTGGTCGCGAGAGGGGATATTTATGCATAAATTCACATGACTTCACAGTGACAAAGAGGGGCTTTAACAATTCATTTGTAAAGAGAGCAACAGAAATTCTCCCTCTCAGAAAATCTCTCCCTTGTTCCAGCTATGCATTCGGTGTTTCATCGAACTTGTCATTTGGTATTCTTGTTTCTGTCATCTGCTAGCTGTAAACTGTTTCTGTGAGCTTCTAGTCTTGATAATTATTTTTTTAAAATGTAATCTAGCTTTTCATCACTAAATAAAGGTTTTATAATATAAAGTTGTTTTTGTTCTGTTCTCATCAGAAATTCAACAATGACTGGTGGATAGGTCGTCTTGTAAAGGAAGGATGTGATGTGCGGTTTATTCCCAGTCCAGCCAAACTAGAAAATCTAAAGACACAGTCAGGAGGAGGGGGGAGGCAAGGCAAGCTCTATACAAGGTGAGTTCATTCAAGTCTTATTTTAGACCCTTGTTTTCTCTTTTTTGTGGACTGGAGTTATAATTTAATGACACTGAAATTATTTAAGGAATTATTTCAGATGTAACATATTTTTTTTTTTTTAAAGGAAAATTTATTTTTGTAATAATTTGTACTTCTTTAGCTTATGTAATTATGCTTTCCTTGGTTCTGAAACATGTATATAACTATATACATTTTTAAATCTTAATGTTTCTCAGAATTAAAATTTCTTTTCATCATTTTTTTTTTTAAATAACCTTTTTTAAAACAAATTTTGGAAGGTCATGTGTTAAACTATAATGAATCCATGACTTAAATGTTTCCATGACCTAAGATCTACCCTTATCTAGTCATTTTTAAAGATAATAAAGTCTAGAATGTTTTAAAATTAATTAAAGAAAATATTAACTGATTTTTTGGAAACATCTGGTCAGCTTAGTACATCTGATGCTATCAAGTTAAGGGGTCATTTACTTAAACTCTCTATATTTAAACCAATAGTCCTAATGGAAAGTACTAGACACTTCAAATAAAACTCACACAAAGCTACTGAAAGAATGAGTGACATTTAACACCACCCCCTCCTCATGCACACACTTTTTTTTTACCCCACCCCATCCAGCCCAATGCTAAAAGAAAAACTATCAAGACACCCAGTGCAGGCATAGGAAAATCAATACACAATAAAGATTTTTCTTTTAATGTATTACCCTGCCTCCTTTCTTTTTCCCCTGGCTTGTATTCATTCTTGCCATGTGAACTTTTTTTTAAACCCTCTTATCCTTTCTGCCTTTTATTGCTACACAGCATATTGGTTTTCTTGTACTTAGTCTTATTTGGCTATTTTCCCCTGATGTGACATGTGCTGATAAAGCCAGCTGCTCCAGGGCAAGCCCACCACAGACAGTCTTTATTTGCCCTTGGGATGTAGAGCTTGTTAGGGCCCCCATCGAACCAATCCGATAGATCATATATTTTTATAAAGGAAAGTTTAGGAATATGTTTAAAGACAATCACTGTTTCTGTATTGGGAGATACGACTTTTTCATTCTTTGTTTTCATCACTTCTTAACTTGACCATTTTTATTATTTGGTTTTAATTTCCCTTAAGAACTTAATGCGTCTTTTGTCATTTGTAATTAAGTTAGTCTTATTGCCAACCTTTTTTTTTTTTGCTCTTAATTTTTCTAAATTACTTTTTTTTAATGGCTTAAACAAAACTTTTTTTGTTGTTTTTTTTTTCTCTCTAATATTTTAAAAGCATTTTTAAATTTTTTCATGTCATTTGATTTTAAACCCTAAACTTCAGCTGGTATCTCCAAAAGTAAGACTTTTGTTTTTATGTTTTTATCTCATTACTTTTGTTCCCCTCCAGATGTAATGTGTTTTTTTTTGGGCTTTTTTTTTTTCTAGAGCGCTGTGATTTCCCTAAATATGGTATAAATATGTATTGGTAGTTATGCAGAATAGCAGGGAGCGGTTGTGTTATATGCATTGATGTGGAAAGTCTGAATCTGGAAGGCAATCTAAGCATGACTCATTCTAGTTCATGGTTCATACTTTGTATCGCTCATTTTATGTCAACTCTTACTAGTATATGGCTCATGTTAGCTCAAGATTCATTCTAGCTCGTGGCTTAATCTCCCTGTGAACCAAATAGCTCATTACCATACTAGTTCATTACTTATAAAACAAATAGTAACACTGTGTAGTTCTGTATGCATGATATTGCTTTTAAAACATAAACACCTGTTCTCTCAATGGCCCACAATGTTAAATAGAAACTCTCGAAATTGACCACAAAAAATTCAATTTATTAGTTGTTGTCTATTTGGGAAAAATAAGATGTGTATACATTGATCAACAAAGTGTGGTAAAAATATTTTTAATTGCCTGATTAAAGCAATAATTCTATTTCTAGAGGACATTTAAATAACTTAATTTAAACATGAGTATTTATCATTTCTAGCTGTTTTTTAATCAATTGAAAATTTTAAAAAAATCAAATATGTTTCAGTGCTTTTCCCTTTTTTACTCATAAATTAGCCATGCATTTTCTTTACTTAAAAATTAGACTTTTCCTCTCTTTATTAAAAGGCTATTCACCCAAAGTTCTGTTTTTATGGCATTTATGGGTTTTATGCATCTACAGAAGCAGTATTTTTTTTTAAATTCATCTTAACAAGGATTTTATGTGTTAATTTATGTTTTTTAAAATACATTTGAAATTGTACAAAGTTTTTTTTTAAAATTATTATTTATGATATTAGGATTCCTTTGACTTAACTACCTTATTTTTGTCTTCAGCAAAACTAATTCATCTTCCAACATAGACAACCTGTTGAATTCCTCTAAACCTTCAAACTCCAGGGGCTCCACACCACCAACCCCAGGTAAACTGCAGACTTTATTTACATAAGTCTTTAGCTACCATCAACTCTTAGGTTGTGTTAACTATTTATAGACTTACAAAATGGACCATTTGCCGGCTCCACATTGAATGATGCCTTCCCACACTAACCAGCTTCTGACAATCACAGACACATTGCTGCATTGATCCAGTTTAATTTAAAGTTATTTCTATAGGGATCCTATTTTTATGTATTCAGTTATTGAATTGGATAATAGTGTCAGCAGGCTTTGTTACTTGGGGATAGATTATCCACATTTTGTGAGAGGATGTACAGAGATTATCTGAGTTGGGTGTTTTGGTGGTGATACATCACATTTCCTGATGTGGGGTGTTGGTGGTGATAGATTATTAACATTACCACAGGTGGGGGGTTTGGTGGTAATACATTATCCAAATTTCCTTAGGTGGGAGGCTTGGTGGTGATAGTCTCCACATTTCCTGAGTTGGGTGGATGGTTATGTTATCTTACAAACAAGGAGTTTCTAATCCCATTTTCTAATTAGAGCTCTAATCCCAATTTGGCCTTGTAATACACCGAACAGAACAATCAGATGATACCCGCTAAACTCCCGCTAAAATATTTTAAAAGCATGAGGAAAAAGATAAGAGTTAAATGGCATTGGAGAAAATTAATTAAAAAGAAACAATTTTAGGCTGCACACAAACACTTAGAGAAGCGCTCGGTTAGAAAAGGCAAGAAAAAAACAAATTCTCAAATGGAAACAACCCATCATAAAATGTATACTAACAAAATTTTACCATCTTGGCCAAAAGTAACTGATTAGTTCTAATAAATTTATTTATTTTTAATTGTTTAAAGTTTTCTACTGAATAATAGGGTAAAAAATCTTAATACGCCCATGAGAATTGAATAATTGCTATTTTGCTTTTAAAATTATCCATAATCATGTTGCTGCATATATGTAATGGAGTACAAATATTTAGAAATAAGTAATGAAACTCAATTTCTTTACGTTTTATTTCACTGTCATTTACCTGTTTTATGGCCAACATGTCTAAATAATTTCTTTTATTGAACAGGTGTTCAATTTGTATCTCCAGGTATAGAGGAGACTCAGAACGGTGTGGACAGCAATGTCGGTGAAGACAGTGACAGCTTGGGGAATTCCAAGTCCAGTAAAGCCAGTATAACACCTCCCACCAAGGAGAAACGGAAGCCTTTCTTTAAAAAAGTATCTATTATTTAACTCACTTTGGGACAGTTTCTTTTTTTGTGTTTAAGCTCTGTGGTTTTCCCAGGATGAACAGCTTGATTTGTGTGTGGGGTTGAACTGCGATAAAGCTTATGTAGATTAAATAGACTGGCAATTTATTTTTAATTCTTATAATGTTTTATTTTGTTTTAGTGATGAAGACATGAGCCAAAATGTTAGGATTTGTATTTCATCCATTAATTGAAGCACAACCATAGTTTTACCTACACAAATTGTTAGTGCCTAATAATTAATCTGTTAGCTCAGGGCCTTTCAATATAGTTAAATGCAGACGGTGCTGATTTGGTGTATTGATTTCAATATGAGAGAGACGGCTAGGAAGAATGATATCATTGACCCGAAATGATATCTCAAACAGAACGGAAATGACAGAAAATTGTATGCCTGCATTTCAACATTAAGCATTTCATTATAATATACACCCTTGTGGCAAAATGACTCAGTGGTAGGTGTGTGAGGACAACTCTCATATGAGTGTCACGTCTGCTCATGTCTAGAGGTTTTATGTTATATCAACTTTGACACACTAAGGGACATAATTACCTATTCATTTGTCCCTAATTAGTGAGAAATTCTTAACACTTAACACAATTTCTTAAATTAAATTAACTTATTTATTTACAAATAAATTATAATGGTTAAGGATTTGAAGAAAAAAAACTTGCATATAATTTAGTCTGGGTTCTATAGATTATGGACATTTGCTTCCTGTGATGCCTAACATTTATCATAATGGTTGATTGCTTTGTATCACAATTCTTTGTGATTAGACCATTAATACTTAACTTATCAATCATAAATTAGTTTTGATAATCCACTTGATCAATCAAATTGTGAGGTCACTTTAATGTTGAAAGTGTTGTTTTACTGCATAGTTCAATTCACGACTCAAAGCAATATAGTGAGCGATTTACTTGAACAAACAATCAAAGGGGAGTAATTCAGGCGGAAACAATAAATAGGGGGGGGGGTCTAAAAAGGTGTTTAAATAAATTGAAAATTGAAGGAACAGCTTAATTTCATCTCAGTATGCACCAAAAGTAGTCGTACGGATACTCCCGCATCTGGAATGTGTTTGTGCGTCGGCCATCCTGGCATAACTCCAGCCGCCACGTGTTCAAAGAAGTGAAAAGGATTTTAAGTTGGGCAGTTTTAGTTACAAATGAAAAAATGTATTCATAGTTGACCACTGTTTTTGCTCGTACATAGTGATTAAGTGATGTGAAAGTGGACCCTGTTTGAATGAAGGTGGCAGAACAATTCCAAGGGAGATTTAATAAGATGGCACCAAGTAACACAGTTATGCTGTCTTTTTTTGCAACATTTTGCTGCTTTGAAATGTGTTGTGTCAATTAATGGAAGTCTGATCAACAATTACGTTTTTCGATGATAAGAATCTTGCCCATGTTCTCCTATGAAGTCTACAAGGAACATTCTTCAAAATGAACGTCAGCAATATGTCTGTTCACTGATTGTTTAAGGATGTAGATACATTTTTCTAACTAATACAGGATAGACAACACTTGGCGGAGCCAGGATCTTGTATTTTATAAATTTCTGGCTATGGTGTAAGAGGTTACAGTGTTTTTCCTATGAAAATCACTGTCGTTAACAGATATATCAGACTTCCCCTTCTGTTGACAAAGAACCTTCCCAGAACCGTCTTACTTTGTGCCTTTTCTAAAATCTCACTTGGAATTGTGTGTTCCATATTTTGTCAAAACATAGTCACCCTTTAGACGCATTAATGTATGAGCAAAAATATTGCTTAACTTATCTATGAATAATTTTTCTTTCGTGGAGAGACCAATCTTGAACAAAAACTGACCAACATATAATCATTTTCATTTCTATGGTCATGTGGCAGCTGGACCTGAGCGCCATTGACAAACGTAAGTAAATGTTCAAACTGGGGGAGTTTCAGTACTGCTAGTTTTGTTGCATGTGAGGAGTAATATCTGGAAGATAATCAAGTTTTTTTTTACTATTGAAGTATTTGAAAATGTGCAAATTTAGACATTGTTTTTTGTTCATTTAAAAATATGACGAATCTAGGTTATAACCCAGTTGATGAACTGAGACAGTTTGACATGACTGTACTTTAACATTTTATATCAGTTTGTTAACTTTTACTCATTAAAATCCATTAGTCTGAAAGCGCCCCTCCTTATGAAGTTGTGCCTTCCATGCGCCCAGTAGTTTTGATTGGACCATCCCTCAAAGGTTATGAGGTCACTGACATGATGCAGAAGGCATTGTTTGACTTTCTCAAGCACAGATTTGAAGGCCGGTCAGTAGCTATATATTTCCTGGCATGCGAATTTCCAAAAAGCTGCATATCATTCTGTTTTGTTGTTTTTGTTTTTTTTAAACCTATTAAATTATAGTGCTTTTGGTGTAGTCAATTTACAGTTAAATTCTTTCTTTTTTTTATGTTATTTAAATATCAATTAGTAAATTTTAATATACATCTCTATTGTTTATCTTATACATATTCATTAACATTTTTGTTATTAAAAAAAAATTATTTTACTATTTTATTAAAAGCCATTAAAAATGATGCATAAAATTAATTGTAAAATGTTAATACTCAATCCTATGAAAAATGTGAATGATAACTGCAAGCTTTATACAAGATAACCATTGAACCAATTTTTCTAGAATACTTTTTTTTTTTAAATTATGCCAAACTAAGTTAATAAGATTTGAAGAATTATACTTTGCCTCATATGCACTCACCACTTGATGAAAGCATGGACTGACTGTTCACAATATCTTTACTCAGTATTGTTATGGGACTCAACTAGTTGGAAGTTTTTTTTAATTGATTATGTCTTTCTGACCCTCTTCCTCCCACCACTTACAGTATAATAATCACAAGAGTTACTGCTGATATCTCCTTGGCCAAGCGATCATTACTTAATAACCCAAGTAAGAGAGCTATCATGGAGAGAACAAACCCAAGAGCTTCAGGCTTAGGTATGATTTTATTTGATAAACCAGATGGAAAAGACTCGCTTAATTAATTGCTTAAAATAACCATTTGTTTTAAAAGATAATATTAAAGCCTTAGGTTCCTGAGACATCTTGGCAAATATTTTAAATGAATGAATGGTAGTCTTTGTTGGGAAAAAATAGTCTTGTGTATGGCTTTTGGTGCAATCATTTTAACATCATATTTTTAAAGATTAAGATAATAATGATTGATGATGTGGAGATAAATATACATCAGCTGGTCTGTCTGTGCATGGAGACAAAAAGCCATAGATCACTCTGAATGGAAGGACAAGGTGGAGCAGACCAGTGCTCTACATGGGCTTTTGTTCCAATGATGATGATCATTATGTTTAAGTTCAAAATTAGAATTTTAAAATAAATATTTAACTGCCTCAATTTATTTTCCCCAGCTGAAGTTCAGGCAGAAATTGAGAGAATATTTGAGTTGGCCCGAGCTCTGCAGCTGGTGGTGTTGGACTGTGACACAATCAACCACCCGTCGCAGCTGGCTAAAACGTCTCTGGCACCAATAGTTGCTTATGTCAAGATATCTTCTCCCAAGGTAGGTGGCTGACATTCCATCATCTCTATAATTCAAAGGGTTTTTTTTCATTTGTTGTATTTTATTGACATCTTCCTAAATGCCTTACATAGGCTACTACATTCAAACCTATCTTTTTAAAATTTCTTACATTATAGTATTTAAAACTCTTCCTTTTAATAACTTCCAAGCTTCCAAAGCATTCAATATATTATTTCATTTAAGGAGCTAAGCTAAAATAAAAAAACGTAAAAATGAATTAAACGTGTATTAAACAGTATTTGATGGCTCATTGCAAGGTGACAAAAATTTTGAGTCTAAATTTTCTGTAGCTGGCTGATTATTTACACGTACTTCTGATTATTTGATCCATCACTGATTAGAATAGAAAACTTAGTTTATCATTTTAGCTGCTTCATGCAAGACTAAACATTGATGAAACTTACATTTTCATGCTATACATATCATCCGACCTATGAAGTGATGACTTATGTGTGTTGTGATTCAGGTCTTGCAAAGGTTAATAAAGTCTCGGGGTAAATCCCAGTCCAGGAACATGAATGTCCAGCTAGTTGCTGCCGACAAGCTAGCACAGTGTGCGCCGGTGAGTTGACCTGCTAGTGCTTGGCCTTTATTTGTTGTGGAAGCAAGCAGCCTGTCTTGTCATTGGTACAAACCAGGGTTGAGAACTAGAACCCCTTGAAAGTGAAAAGCGGCTGTATTTTTTTTTCTATTAGCCTCAATTGTTTTTAAAAGAATGAATATAATTAACTTCCATTGCATGCCGTAAAAAAAAATGTGATGTTAACTTAAGGTCTGATTATTTCCATTTCTTTTTGTTTTAAGGCGTGTGTGCTTTCCCTAAAATTTTACAAACACTGGAACATTCCTATAACGATATATACTCTTCTAATTCTTATTTGCTTTGTTCAAGCTGAAATTATGATGAAAGAATTTGTAAATTTATTTATGTAACCCCCAACTATGCCTGCTGAAAAAAAATGAATATAAAAAGGTTTTTGTTACCCACTTCTGCTTACAGTTTATTAAATTGAAGAAGAAAAAAAGCTCACTGATAATTGAAAACAATTAGATAAATGCTTAAGAATTATATTTATTATTAGTGAACCTTTTGAATTGTATTTTCACATTTTGTTTTACTATTCAATTAGTAATTCTTGAACAGAGGCATAAATAGACGATCCCCCTTTTTTTTTTTTTTTTTTTTTTTTTTTTTATTTTTAAGGGTTTTTTTTTTTTTTTTTTTTTTTTTTTTTCAATTAAAGGGGTTTTTCTGTCTCAGAATTCATATAATTCATATGCATAAAATTATTGTCTTCCTCTTGCTTATAAAATAAATTTAAAATCTGGCAGGAAATGTTTGATGTGATACTGGATGAAAACCAACTGGACGATGCATGTGAGCACTTAGCTGAGTTTCTTGAAGCTTACTGGAGGGCCACCCATCCCCCAAACATGAGTCCACCATCACCGCATGGCCCGCACAGGGGTCCTGCAGGCTCATCAATGCCACTAAATCGGCACAATACAGCACCTGCTAGTCATATGTCACACAGGTAAGTCAAAACTAATTATCTTTTTATCCTGATTCACTAGCAGCTTTTGTAGATGATTCTGGTTTAGTGATTTTTTTTCTGTTTTCTCCATTGTTTAGTAGTTATCAATAAAACCAAATCAATATAACTAAATCAATTAATAATCTTTTTCTTTTTACAGTTTCTCATATCAATGGTCTCCAAATATATTTTTGTCTTAAATTATTACTTCTAAACTTTTTTTTTTGTCTAGCATCATTATTTTGTGAAAGCAAGCACATACTGAGGCTGCTTTACTGCATCACTTAACACACAAGCAGCAAATACATTATATTTTATTAAAGAAACAGTGTGCTTTAATTGTTACATGTTGTTTATTATGGTTAACCAAGAGTGGCCCCCAAATAAATGAGTTATTTTATAACCTTACAACAAGGGTGTCATTGAACTACATCAGGCTTTGTTAACACCTATTTATAAAAATGTAATGTTGAAAAAAAAGCAAATTTAAAATCTACATATATATTCTGTCTCATTTTTTGAGCCAGGCCATTCAAAAACCTTCCCTAAATAACAGATTGTTACAAATATATGTTGAATACTGATTAATGTGTACCAATTTATGATTATTCAATTATATCACTCTTGAATCAAGGACAGCTATTTTTAGAACAAAGTAATTATTCATCTTTACTAAAAAAAAAAAATTAAAGACAACTACTTTTTATCCTAACTGTTATATATTCATATTTTGATCAACTGTAGCCGGTCTGGGAGCCTGGAACGGGTGAACTCTCCAGACAGTGATCGGCAACATCATCATCGTGAGCATAGCACCCACCACCACCACCATGATCGGCAGAGCAGCAGTCGTCACCATGACGATGACTACGACAGTGATCGCCACGGCGACCACCACCGGTCCCACGATAGAGATCATGATCACAGCCACACTTCTCCGAGGGGGTCGAAGTATCCGGTGCGCCAAGGAAGTATAGACATCTAGCATCATGTGTGATGAAGATAGGCTCAGTTAACAAATCACCAGTATGTTTTAATTGACAAAAAGAGAGAAAAAAAATAACCAAACTAACATCACTCCACCTGTATGAATATTTTTAAATGCACCTTGCTTCACCACAGTAATGAATGATGCACAGTGTTGAATTCAGTGCACCATCTCAAAGGAAAGTAAACACTAACAAACACTTGCAATGCAACAGTTTACCATGTGTGGAGACAGTGAGGCTGCAGGAGGATTTTGTCTTTTCAGATCTGGAATTTTATCAGAGACTTTATCTATCAGATTCAACAGCAATTTTGAAACAAGAAAGATTGTTTTTTTAATGTCATTCATTTAACCCCAATTGCCTCTACATTTTTATTTAGCAGGTCCCAAACAATAACCTCTTTAAAAACTGTGTTAAAACATATTTATAAACAAAAATAAGTTATAGCTCTGGGATGCTTTTTAAAATAAACACACTCTATGATCTGGTATTTTGATTATAATGAAAGAAACAATTACTTAGCTTGACAGAAAGTCTTAATAGAATTTTATTTTATTAAGATGTTTTTGAAAGTGTGCTTTGAGCTGAGAGTGTCTCACATTTGGATATAATAGTTTTTTTTAAATGTGATTTTAATTTATTGGGGTTTTTTGTTGTTCTTTTGGTCCCAGTTTTTCTGTAAATGATGGTTTGACAACTTGCTTTGATACAACGCAGTTCTGTTTTATCTGTAGGGCTGGGTGTTCACAATTACTTGTTTCGATCAACTTGATAACTCAGTTTGTACAGATGTAGACTGTACAGTGTACATCTTGAAAAGTCTATTTGTTAAGATGTAGACTTTCCAAACTCTACATGATACATCCATTCTTGAAATATAGACTGGTTAATGTATATAGAATTATTTTTTTTAATTTGATACATTACGGCACCATCCACTGTTAATCAAAGTGTTGGTATTTGTTAGTTTCCTTTCCAAGGTCTTGAGTCGATTGATATTTTGCAAAGCTTGTCTCCTAGCACCATGGTTTCTCAGACATTTTATAGAGTGAGTTGTAATGTTTTGAAAAAGAGAGTAAAAGGTTCCATCCTACATGACTTTCTCACCCGGATCACAGCTAAGTGTTATTAATTAAGGTTTTTTTTCAAGGAAAACTTCAACTTCTACTAATGCAAGTGGTAAAAGAAATTTAAATGTTCGTTCTCATTTGCAGAGATGATGGATTATTGTGCTGGATTTGTTTTTTCAAATCTATTACTAAAAGAGAAAAGTATTGAAATTATTTACTGGACATAATAATTTAAATTTTTGTGTCACCTGGTTATTGTAATATGAATGAACACAATAATCGGCTTTTCTAACAAATTCTATATTTCATTGTATGGTTTTATTTAGGGGTATAATTTTACCGAGGGGAGGCAAGTTAAGTTAAAACCCCCAAAATTTAGAAGGGCAAAGTACCTATCTTTGGGCAATGCTGAGAGAAACATTTAATTTGTTTGTTTCTGAAGCTTTTGTCATGAACTGCTCGTGTAAGTTATAACCAAGGAAGGAAACAACAGAAAATAAAAACATCTTGATATGTCAGACCACCTGTATACCCAATTACATGTGGTGGGGGGGGAGGGGGACCACATTTTCCATGTTGGTGTTTGACTATTTAAAACTTTAACTAAAAAAAACTATTTCTTGTATTTAAAAGAAAAGAAAGAAATACAAAAGGGGTTGGGGGGACAAGGTGAAGCAGTGAAATTGGTTATTTTAAGTAATTCAATTTCGTAAAAGGGCTGATTTGATGGATTTGTTATTAACAAAGCAAACACTGAAAGATTGAGCATGAATGAGGCTGGTCTATTGTTTTATTACAAACCATGTCCGAATCCCTACAGGCGTTTCACTCCAACAATGTGATGCCCATTGAAGGAATGGTTAAATTCTCTCTTTGAATTACTCAAGGATTGGTTCCATTTTCTGTTTTTTTTTTGTCTTCATTAGCATTTGCGTGAGTTTTTTGTGTATAGTTGTTAAAGTTAATGAGACAAATGGGTGGGATGTAGCCTAAAAAATGTTGGAATTATTTTGACACAAATGATCCAGTGCATAAGGGTTATTTATTTCCTGCTTTGAAGTAAAGTTCTTGCTGATATTTTATGTCACAGTTTATTTATATCCATTGACCCAAATTGGTTTGTCCAAGTATTTGTAATCATCAACAAATACAAGTTATTTCCTTTATTTGAGGAATGGTAGTTAACTGGTTATGTGCAATAGAAAGTGCCATGGTTGTTGTTATTATTTAAGTTAGTATTGTTATTATTATTATCAACTTTGAATTAGGGATCTCTCATTCTGACCTCAACCCCTGATTAAAATGTATTCAAAGTTAGGCTTATTGCAAATAATTTTTTTGCACTGAATTTAATTAGAGATTTTCCTAAATATTCTTTTTTATCATTTAAAAATTACCTTTTCATCTAGTGACTTCACTTATAAACAGGTAGAGATAATTTGATGGGTTTGTGAAAATATTTAAAGAACTTTTTTTTTTTTTTTTTTTTTTGAAAAACAATTCAAATTATAATATACCATGTTCCATTATGAGGTTATGTCAAATAAAAGCTCTTTGTTTTTTTTTTTGTTGGCATTTTAAACTTCACTTATAAACAGGTAGAGATAATTTGATGGGTTTGTGAAAATATTTAAAGAACTTTTTTTTTTTTTTTTTTTGTAGAAAAACAATTCAAATTATAATATACCATGGTCCATTATGAGGTTATGTCAAATAGAAGCTCTTTGTACTTTATTTTGTTGGCATTTTAAAATGCATTGACTTGTTTCCCTGGGTTTGTAATTAGCATTCCCATCATCTTAAGAGCTGTCAATAGGTTGAGATGTTTAATTATGATAGCTCCCCTGCTAATGTGCAATATTTATCTACATATTTATAGACGTATACATATATGGGTTGTTGGGTTTTTTCTGTTTTTTTTTTTTCCCATTTTATTATAGAAACACAATTTTTATAAATTAAAAATTAGACTGAAACACTGCTTTCCTACAGAAATGCTGTCTGGTGTGAGTTGTGTATACAAATTAGTGTAATAGTACAAGCTGTAAAGTAATGCGGGCATTACTTTTAATATGGTAATGTGACACACAACTGTTGCCAGGCTGCTTTGCGCCTTTTTATTTTAGTTTCCTAGTTTTCCATTGCATCATGTGTGACTTCCTTTTGTTGGATATATTTTTTAAGCTAAGATTGTGCCTGGGACGTGATTCTCAGTGCTTATAGTTGAATGGCTGAAAATGTTTAGAACCTCGGAAAAAAAATACAAGAATTACTGTGAGGATGTTTTCTTCATTTTAGATTGCATTAGTCGGCTGAATTATTTTGAAGTTCTATTCAGGGCATTTTGTGATAATTTTGTTGTTTTTTTAATTTATTTTTTTTTCCTTTTTTTTTTTTTTTTTTTTTTATGTTTTCTTCATTTTAGATTGCATTAGTCGGCTGAATTATTTTGAAGTTCTATTCAGGGCATTTTGTGATAATTTTGTTGTTTTTTTAATTTATTTTTTTTTCCTTTTTTTTTTTTTTTTTTTTTTTTTTTTCTTTTTTAAAAAAAAAAAAAAATTTTTTTAAAATTTTTTTATTTTTTTTTTTTTTTTTTTTTTTTTTTTTTTTTTTTTTTTTTTTTTTTTTTTTTTTTTTTTTTTTTTTTTTTTTTTTTTTTTTTTTTTTTCATTGTCCCATTAAATGAAGAAAAAAAATATGTTGGAAATTTATTCACTTCATTATTTTGTGTCATTTATTTGGAAAATCTGAGTACTTTCGAAAGCAGGGAAAATATGCTACTTACAGTGTGAAAACCTTGGCTTACTTTTGTTATTAGGGCCATAAACAAGTTGTTATGAACCAGAAATTATCAGAATATTTAATAAGTGTGTAAACTTTTACTTTCACAATTGAAGTTTAAAGAAGACCATTTTAATGATAGTCATTTTGTTAATTTGAGGGGCTTCATCGAAATTTTTTTAATTTTTAAAGTTAATACGTACTTGGGTCAATTCTTTGTTTTACTTATTTGTGAAATCCAATGTATGACTTAATAAGTTTTTGTTTTTTTTCTCCACTGCACATTGTCCTGTAGGACTAGACCTGATACTTATGGTCAGATCAATGCCAAATTGTGACAGAGCTAGTCTTGACTTGTGATACTGTGTCAAACTCTACAAATATGTCGTGACATTGGTTACGAGAAGAATACTAGATATCAACGCAATCACATACTTCCATGTATGTCTACATTATGTGTTAGCTGTGTGACTTTGTACTTGCTCAACTGTGATTTGAACCGATAGCAGATGCAGAGCAAATGAGATTGGGGTTTTCCCCTTATTGATATTCTATTAGAGTAAATAAAATAATTTAATACTCCACTAAGGAGTTAATTTATTATGATACAGACACTAAGCTATTTTTAATCCTAGTCTACATCTTGTGATGAAATGTGTTTTTACCTATTTGCAGAGATGTTTCAATACCTTGAGCAATTGTGCACAAATAAGTTTTCAGAACATAGGCACGATGCTTTTTTTTTAAAAAAGTCGAAATTTACCCTATAAGGCTTGATTGTTCATCTGCAAATTTTATTTTTGGCTTTGACGACTAGTTATAATGGCGTTATGTTGAACAAATTATAAATACATTTTATTTCATGTAGATACCTCAGAGTTTGATTTTTATCTGAAGAAAGTTGTTTCATAGTTTATTCATCTCTATTGTTTATCTTTTTATGAATTGTTTTTATTTTTTTTTTTAAATAATGAACCAATACACTTGCAAAACAATTGTATACTTTTTGGCAGTATTTATATATTTTGTCAGTAATTGAAAATAATTTGTATTTCAAGAGAAATATATTTCTAAATATAATGAAAACCAAAACTTTATTAAAAAATTTTAATGTAATTTTATTTTGTATCCCTAACAATATTAATTAAACAAAGACTTTACAGCCCGTTCTGTGAACGTTTTTAATTTTAGAAGCAAAACCGTAACTCTGACTCCAGGGCTCCTAATATTTACAGGAACATAAGTTTGTTGGCTCAAGTTTTCTATTCAGGTCAGTTTTCAGCCACTCTCCCAGAGTACTGTAATTGAGTATACAAAAATTAGATAAGTGGATGCTTGACTACTTTTTTTTTTTTTAAATTGTTTTCTTTAATAAACATGCATGATGTCTGTGTACTTGTATATAGTAATTTCAATGTAAGTGTAAGTAATGTGGTATGTGTGTGTCATCAGCTCTCAGCGGTGTG